CTGTTTTTTATTTGGATATCGCCACTAAGCGATTCTCCTTCTCAGAATACGAGCGCGATAACTTCTCGATGTCAGTGTCAAGTCACAGTACTCTCGCTGTGCGGTCACAGTGTAACGATACCAAACTATAAGAACGGCGATTAAAACTATAAGATTCGCGTCGCATTTGCACTACTTGTGACATCTATCGACCAATCGCTCTCGCAATATTACGGTACATTCTGCTGTTCTCGCAAGTCGTCGTCCTGGTGCTCTCGGCGATTATCGCCGAGCAAGAAAAATCATTGGCGAAGGTACCGATCTGTCTTAACGTTGAGGGTTTTAACATTTGTCATTACGAGTGTAATGAACGTGATGCAGCGTCGCTTTAAATATGTCTTGGACATTAGCGACTTGAACCTACTGGCGATTCAAAAGAACGCCTTCAAGAAAGTGACGATGACATACATGTACCTTAACTTCGGTAATCGAATATCAATGCTGAAAAGGGGATCCTTTCGCGGTCTGCCGAGGTTGAAATGGCTTTTCTTGGACTGCAACGCCGTTGTCGGAACACTTGTTCGCGGAACTGGAACATTTGCATTTCCTGTCGCTAGCCAACAACAAAATTAGCTCAATATCAGCGGACTCGTTCGCGGGCCTGAAGAATTTGACTTGGCTTGATTGAATCACAACGACATTGGCCGCGTTCAGTAGAACAAGTGATCAGTAAGCGCTCAGGGAGCTCTTGTATATGATTTGGCATATTCTTTTAGATCTCCAACTATACTCCAATCAGATGCAAGAGCTCACTGAGCGCTTACTGATCACTTGTTCTACTGAACGCGGCCATTGCCACAATCGATGCGGACTGCTTCTCGAATCTCAATCCCAAGCTGCCGTACCTGTATCTCAATCACAACAAGATCACCCAGGCTCCGGGCGCCTTCGTCGGTTTAACCGGACTGCGTCTTCTCCACTTGGCCTTTAATCAACTGGAAGTCTTACCGGACGACGCTTTCAGAGGACTGAACAATTTGAAATATCTTTACCTAAATAACAATCGATTAACAAGCGGCCCTTTTTACCTGATTTGGTCGACCTGAGGTAACTGCATCTTCAGTACAACGAGATCATCGAACCCAAGACGTTCCAGGGACAATCTCAGCTGATAGACCTTAACTTGAGAAGGAATAAATTGCCTCACATTGTAGTCGATGCATTCGCAGAATTATCTGAGCTCAAAACGCTGGGCGACAACGACATTCACACTGTGAAAGAAGGCTCCTTTGAAGATCTCGTTAAACTGGCAGTTCTTGAAACCGGCGACAACAACGTTATAATGTACAATCGATCCACCCTCGAATTGATAATAATCGAATAAGAGTTTCTCTTATTGTAAAACTTTTACCCTTTACCCATTTTCAAATATTAATATCTCGCATCTACGATAAGCGATTCTCCTGCCGGAAATATTGATACAATAACTTCTCGATATTAGTAGTATGTCAGTGTCAAACAGTACACAGAACTGACTGATGTAATCTATTGCGGCCTCGGCGCAACCATACAAAATTATAAGAACGACCATTCGCGGTCGCATTCACACTGTTTGTGTTTCCGTCAATGAATCATTCTCGCGATGTTACGGTATCTTCCGCTGTTCTCGCAAGAACAGAACAAATATCCAAAATACATCTCAGGGATATCTTATAAATATCGCGATCTATAGGATATTCCTAAAATATATTTTGGGACACTTATTTTGTGGGAATACTTACATTAGTGCGTGCATAATAAAATACCAAATTATTATGCATTACATGTCTTTTTTATTCTTGTCTATAATATGTGTAAACTCTTAATTATTTATATGTAATGCATCAATGCAATTTTTATATAAAAATTTTCGATATGTTTGTGAGAATATTCAAAAATCTAATATTTAGTAAGTTAGGAAAAATTAGATAACCGATTAGATAATCGATTAGATAACTTTCCTAACTATATGCAGCGTAGTGGAATAAATAGATATATTAATATATGCAATAATATATCGACTCCAGGGTTAGATGTTCCGGATTTATATGTCACTTTTATTTTTAATATCTTTGTTATTAATGCGGATCTACGTCCCTTTGTTATTGTATTGATTTCCTCCCCTTTGTTATTTCTACCTTTTTTTTTTTTCATTTTCCAAATCTTTGCCAATAACTGCTACAATTTTATATAAATTCTGCATTGGCTAATATGTCTGCGTAGCACGACGATCCCATAAACTTTGTAAGTTGCCATCTTCTCGAGAGGTTCGTGACGTGCACGACAACGATGGAAATTTCGTCGTGCTACGTAGACGTATTAGCCAATGCAGAATTTACATAAAATTGATGTTATCAGTAAAGATTTGGAAAATGAGAGAAAAGGTAGAAATAACAAAGGGAAGAAGATCAATACAATAAGAAAAGAATGCAGATCCGCACTAATAACAAAGATATTAACGCGACGTTTAACTTCTTTTAAATTCAATATTTATTGAGTTTCCTCGCTAGTCTAATATTCTATTCATTACATTATTATATTTGTTTATATATTATGTTTATACATATAAACAGACTTATCGGAATCTTATAAAAAAAGGAGTGAATAAGAAATGCTTAATAATATAACGTGTTATCTTAATCGATGTTGAAAGATGTCATATTTAATAGCGACTTCTCTTGTTACAGAATTTAAAAAAAAGCGCATATTAACGCCACTCAGTATTGCTTCGTATCGATCACAGCGGTATATAAGGAACGTAAACAAGCCTATTGAAGGCGTATAAAAAGGGAAGTAAGAATAACATTGTAACCGCAGATATCGTGTATAGTGTTCTCTCGAACGTAACGGCGCTTAATGATATAACATGTATCTGAGTGAATGTTGAAAAATATCAGATTTAATGTCACGACTTTTTTCTTCAAACGTGACGTGTACCTCTTTAGAATTTTCCTATCAACTTAATTTTTTCACTAATTGGATATTTTCGAAAAATTTTATCATTCTCTTGACTTGGATATCGCCACTAAGCGATCCTCCTTCTCAGAATACGAGCGCGATAACTTCTCGATGTCAGTGTCAAGAGTGCACGATATTCTCACTGTGCGGCAACAGCGTAACGATACGAAACTATAAGAACAGCGATTCGCGTCGCATTCGCATTGTTTGTGACATCCATCGACCAATCGCTCTCACGATGTTACGGTACGTTGCGCTGTTCTCGCAAGTCGTCGTTCTGGTGCTCTCGGCGATTGTCGCCGAACAAGAGGAATCATCGGCGAAGGTGCCGACCTGCCTTGACGTTGAGGGCTATAACATTTGTCATTACAAGGGTGTATTAGTGGACGTGACGCAGCGTCGCTTTGTGGATCGCTTGGAAATCAACGACTTGGATCTACTGGCGATTCAAGAGAACGCCTTTAAAAACGTGACGGCGACGCACTTGTACCTTAACTTCGGTAATCGGATATCAGTGCTGAAACGGGGATCCTTTCGCGGCTTGGCGAAGTTGAAATGGCTTCACTTGGACAACAACGTTGTGCCGTTGTCGGAGCATTTGTTCGCGGAACTGGAACATTTGCATTCGCTTTCGCTGGTCTTCAACAAGATCATCTCAATACCAAAAGACTCGTTCGCAGGCCTGCCGAATTTAACTTGGCTTTATTTGGGTCACAATGACATTGCTAGAATCGACACGGACTCCTTCTCAAATCTCAATCCCGAGCTGCTGTACTTGTGGCTCAATTACAACAAGATAACCCAGGTAGCTCCTGGCGCCTTCGCCGGTCTAACTGGATTGAATCGCCTTCACTTGGACTTTAATCAGCTGGAGGTCTTACCGGACGGCGCTTTTAGAGGACTGAACAAGTTAGAATACCTTTTTCTAAATAACAATCGATTAACGAGCGTATCTGCGACCCTTTTCCGTGATTTGATCGACCTGAAAAATCTGGATCTTCAATACAACGAGATCAGCGCTCTCGAGCTGGAGACGTTTCAGGGATTATCTCAGCTGGTACACCTTAACTTGAGAGGGAATAAATTGTCTCACATTGTAGTCGGTGCATTCGCAGGATTACCTGAGATCAGAGTGCTTATACTTGAGGACAACAACATTCGCATTGTGGATGAAGGCTCCTTCGAAAATCTCGTTAAACTGGAAATTCTTAAAACCGACGGCAACAACATTACAATAACATTCCAACATACAACAATCGATCCATCCACAGTGCGACGTCATTAACAACATGAGGGTCTCTTTTATTGAGAACTTTTAACCTTTACCCACTTTATAACATTAGCATTTACGTTAAGCGATTTTCTGTCGGGAATACTGACGCAATAACATCTCGATATCAGTGTTGTGTGTAGTGTTCTTACGAACGTAACGACACTTGACGATATAACATTGTTATGTATCTGAGTAAATGTTAAAAAATATCAGTTTTAATGTCACGACTCTTTCTTTCAAACATGAGATGTTTACCTTCTTTGAATTTTCCTGTCAATTGAATTTTTATAAAATATAATTGAAATCTAATTGAATATTTTCGAAGAATTTTATCATTCTCTGTCTTTAACTGAGATATCGTCACTAAGCGATTCTGTTTCTCAGAATACGAGCGCGATAACTTCTCAATGTCAGTGTCAAAAGTGGACAGTACTCTCGCTGTGCTGCCACAGCGTAACGATACTGTTAGAGATGCGTGCGTTAATAGTTGAATTACGCGCAATCAAGTTTAGCATTATTGGCAATCGCGCACAATTGGCTCCGCGAATGGGCTCGCGACACTTGCCGGTAGTCGGGGGACGATACAAGGCTGTCGCGGAGAACGATGGGTAGACATCAGGTGTCGAGCTGAGAGGTGAGGTTTTGAGTTCGTTGCGAGACGAGCACTCGGGCGCACCCACTTGCTGAAATCTTTTCGTGTAATTGAAAGTAAAGCTGTCACATCTATTGGAGTGTTTAATTAGCGATCCCTAATACACAACAGATACGAAACTATAAGAACGGCGATTAGCGTCGCATTCGCACTGTTTGTGACATCCATCAACCAATCGCTCTCGCGATGTTACGGTACGTTGCGCTGTTCTCGCAAGTCGTCGTCCTGCTGCTCTCGGTGGTTGTCGCCGAGCAAGAGGAATCATCAGCGAAGGTGCCGACCTGCCTTGACGTTGAGGGTTTTAACATTTGTCATTACAATGGTATACTAGTGGACGTGACGCAACGCTTTAAGGATGAAGATAAGGTTTCATTGGTTATCAACGATTTGGATCTATTGGGAATTCAGGAGAACGCCTTCAAGAACGTAACGGCGACGTACTTGGTCCTTAACTTCGGTAATCGGATATCAGTGTTGAAAAGAGGATCCTTTCGCGGTTTGCCGAGGTTGAAATTGTTTGACTTGGACAACAACGTTGTGCCGTTGTCGGAGCACTTGTTCGCGGAACTGGAACACTTGGTCTTCCTGTCACTAACCCACAACAAGATCACCTCAATACCAAAGGACTCATTCGCAGGCTTGTCGAATTTGCACTGGCTTCGTCTGAATTATAACGACATTGCCAGAATCAGCATTGCGGACTTTTTCTCGAATCCCAAGCTGAATTACCTGGAGCTCAGGCACAACAAGATCACCCAAGTAGCTCCCGACGCCTTCGCCAGTTTAACCGAACTGCTTTTGCTGACATTGAGTTTTAATCAGCTAGAGGTCTTACCGGACGATGCTTTCAAAGGACTGAGTAAATTGGAAAAGCTTTTTCTAAATAACAATCGATTAACAAGCGTGTCTGCGACCCTGTTTCGTCATTTAGTCGCCCTAAAGAGACTGGATCTTGAAAACAACGTGATTAGCACTCTCGAGCCGAAGACGTTTCAGGGACTATCTCAGCTGGTATACCTTAACTTGACTTGGAATAATTTGTCTCACATTGTAAATGGTACATTCGCAGGATTATCTGAGCTGAGAATACTCGCAATTGCCTACAATATCATTCATACTGTGGATAGTGGCTCCTTCAAAAATCTCCCCAAATTGCAAATTCTTGAGTTCAACGGCAACGAAGCAACGGTTACCGACAAACTATTTACCAAAAACGGAACATTAATCGCATGAGGATTCCTGTTATTAGTAGGACAGTTGGTAATAGTAATAGTTCTAGAACTTTTTTTCAAAAACGTGCCTATGAGCACATCGCCTCGAGTCAATTATTATAATATGTAGAACGACGAAACGTGCAAAAATAGGAATAAAAAATATAGACACAGATATTATATATTATACTCTTAGATATCGCCATTAAGCAATTCTTCTTCTCAGAATACGAGCGCGATAACTTCTCGATATGTGTCAAGAGTGCACGATACTCTCGCTGTGCGGCCAATATGTAACGATACGAAACTATAAGAACGGCGATTCGCGTCGCATTCGCATTGTTTGTGACATTCATCGACCAATCGCTCTCACGATGTTACGGTACGTTGCGCTGTTCTCGCAAGTCGTCGTTCTGGTGCTCTCGGCAATTGTCGCCGAGCAAGAGGAATCATCGGCGAAGGTGCCGACCTGCCTTGACGTTGAGGGCTATAACATTTGTCATTACAAGGGTGTACTAGTGAACGTGACGCAGCGTCGCTTTGTGGATTGCTTGGAAATCAACGACTTGGATCTACTGGCGATTCAAGAGAACGCCTTTAAAAACGTGACGGCGACGCACTTGTATCTTAAGTTCGGTAATCGAATATCAGTGCTGAAACGGGGATCCTTTCGCGGCTTGGCGAAGTTAAAATGGCTTCAGTTGAACAACAACGTTTTGACGTTGTCGGAGCATTTGTTCGCGGAACTGGAACACTTGCATTCACTTTCGCTGGCCTACAACAAGATCATCTCAATACCAAAAGACTCGTTCGCAGGCCTGTCGAATTTAACTTGGCTTTATTTGGGTCTCAATGACATTGCTAGAATTGATGCGGATTCCTTCTCAAATCTCAATCCCGAGCTGCAGTACTTGGGGCTCAATCACAACAAGATAACTCAGGTAGCTCCTGGCGCCTTCGCCGGTCTAACTGGACTGAATCTCCTTCACTTGAACTTTAATCATCTGGAGGTCTTACCGGACGGCGCTTTCAGAGGACTGAACAAATTAGAAGACCTTTTTCTAGATCACAATCGGTTAACAAGCGTATCTGCGGCCATTTTCCGTGATTTGATCGACCTGAAAAATCTGACTCTTCAATACAACGAGTTCAGCGCTCTCGCGTTGGAGACGTTTCAGGGATTATCTCAGCTGGAAAATCTTAATTTGAGAGGAAATAAATTGTCTCATATTGTAGTCGGTGCGTTCGCCGGTCTAACTGGACTGAATCGCCTTCACTTGGACTTTAATCAGCTGGAGGTCTTACCGGACGGCGCTTTCAGAGGACTGAACAAGTTAGAAACCCTTTTTCTAAATAATAATCGATTAACAAGCGTATCTGCGGGCCTTTTCCGTGATATTATCGACCTGAAAGTTCTGGATCTTAAATACAACGAGATCAACACTCTCGAGCTGGAGACGTTTCAGAGATTATCTCAGCTGGTATACCTTAACTTGAGAGACAATAAATTGTCTCACATTGTAGTCGGTACATTCGCAGGATTACCTGAGCTCCGAGATCTCATATTGGACAACAATAACGTTGTGCCGTTATCGGAGCACTTGTTTGCGGAACTGGAACACTTGCATTCGCTGTCGCTGTCCTTCAACAATATCATCTCAATATCAAAAGACTCGTTCGCAGGCCTGTCGAATTTGACTTTGCTTTATTTGGATTATAATGACATTGCCAGAATCGATGAGGACTCCTTCTCAAATCTCAATCCCGAACTGCAGTACTTGTGGCTCAATTACAACAATATCACCCAGATAGCTCCTGACGCCTTCACCGGTCTAACTGGACTGAATCGCCTTTATTTGAACTTTAATCAGCTGGAGGTCTTACCGGACGGCGCTTTCAGAGGACTGAACAAATTAGAAGACCTTTTTCTAGATCACAATCGGTTAACAAGCGTACCTGCGACCCTTTTCCGTGATTTGATCGACCTGAAAAATCTGTATCTTCAATACAACGAGATCAGCGCTCTCGAGCTGGAGACGTTTCAGGGATTATCTCAGCTGGTACACCTTGACTTGAAAGGGAATAAATTGTCTCACATTGTAGTCGGTGCATTCGCAGGATTACCTGAGCTCCGAGTGCTCATATTGAAGGACAACAACATTTGCATTGTGGATGAAGGCTCCTTTGAAAATCTCGTTAAACTGGAAATTCTTAAAACCGACGGCAACAACATTACAATAACGTTGCCACATACAACAATTGATCCATCCACGGTATGACGTCATTAACCTCATGAGGGTCTCTCTTATTGTAGAACTTTTACCATTTACCCATTTTCAAACATTAACATCTCGCATCTACGATAAGCGATCCTCCTGCCAGGAATCCTCCTGACGCGATATCGATGGCGTGTCAGCGTCAGATAATACACAGATATAATCTAACTGATATAATCAGATACAAACTAACTGATATAAATTAACACAGATATAAACACAGATATAAACTAACTGTTATAATTTATTGCGAATGTGTAATAAAAGGTGTATAAAAGATGTAGATATAATAGATATTGTAGAAGATGTAGGTATTATAGATATTGTATATTATACTCTTGGATATAATCACGTTTAACAATATAATATATTGTCTGTATCGATATGTTTGAGAGTTATCTTACTTAATATCACGAACGCCGCTACTTTAAACGGAGCGTTTACCCTTTTCTGGTTCCATCAGTTGGTGAGTTTCGTCAGTATAATCTAATATTTTATCTTCTATATCACATTTCTGTTTCTATTTTACACCTAATATTTGTGTAGAATTTTATCGCTAATCAAACTAGAAATTTTTATAGCCAACGATTTCAATATTACAATTTGGCATCTCTCTTTCTGTAAAATTTTTTTGAAAAAAGTTGTATGTGCGCAGATATTGTATATTGTACTCTGACATATTCACATGCTGAACAATATAACGTGTTACTCATAGGAATCAATATTACGTGATGCCATATTTAATATCCCGACCTCCATTGTTTGAAACGCGACGTTCATCTTCTTCGAGTTTTGCCGTTTATTGAATTTCCCCGGTAGTCGAATATTTTCGGATGCTGCAGGTCTGTGAAAGGACAAGACGTCGCGTCGCCTTCGGCGGATTTTGCCACCCTCTTTTTCATATCATCGTAGGTCTTGTACGACCGTCGAGACTTTCATCAGCCACTAGCGAGATACCCTCCTTGAGATTCTGTGATGCTCGTGCTCAATGAAAAGAGCATCTCTCTGCGACGTGTAGCGTAGAAACATCGTGAAATCGTGCGGAAGAATCACCAAACTCAAAACTGAGCTATGCTCTCAGAGTGAAACGCGCGTACCTTTCGCCGCTCAGGCCACAATGTTTGCTTTTACCTGTACGCGGTGTACATATAATTTACGGACAAAGTAGTCGGAGAATAAAATCTAAAATATTAAAGTACGATATGTACACACACACACACACACACACCCACACACATACATAGAGTCGGCCGAGTAGTTTCCTCAGCGGTAAGTTTTTTAAATTCCATCCGTCCGCCGGCTCGGCTTTATGTATAGCTGTATAGCTTTTCGTTTGTACGGTGGGAGGTGGGGAATCTTTCCCAGAGGCGAAGAACTCGAGCATGGCGAAGATACTCCGGATATTTTTCGCGAAGAAACTTTTCCGCGAAGCCTCCTCTCCGCTTCCTCTACCGCTGCCAGAGATTGCCTCCGGTAATGAAACTCGTCAGAAGAAGAGGATGGGGAGATGTTAAAAAGACGAACATTATAAAATAAAATGTGTCGTTTGAGCACAAATATATCTTACGCGCGCGCGCGCGTGTATGTGTGTGTGTGTGTGTGTGTGTGTGTGTGGTGTATGTGGTTGTATGTATGTGCAATTAAACGAGAGCGAGAAATGGCGAGACCCGCGTCCTAGAAAGGACGCCGTCGCCTTTTGCAGAACATGAGAATATCGTACGACCCGAAGCATAGGTCGAGAGTGGAAACGTGCGTTGATTACCGCAGATATTCTTCCCCGTGTTCCTCGAGTTCACGAATTCGCCGTCGATTCTACTGTCTGGGTGCGCGAGGTAGACGGAGGATGGAAACGCGTCTGCGAGCTGCGGCGCAGCGCGCACGCAGCGGATGCACGCGACGAGCGTGCACGTGCGAACGTTGAACGGTGTAAGAGACCACCGGTCTGGTGGGGATGCAGGAGGTTGAGGTCGCATTGATTTTGTCTAGACAGGGTGGAGACTGGTCCGCGGTATCGTCCTTCGCCCATACCGGCTTCGCCATGCCGTCATTCAGCATGCTGCACTTGTCAGCCGGGGAGATACCCCGTTCAGTTCGTGGATCGTTGCCGCGCGAGGAGGAATGTCGCCGCCGGGTCCTCCTCCGCATTCCGGTGAAATCAGACCGCGATCGCGCTCAATAGAACAGTAATTGCAGAGAATTCGGGTGCACAACGTGGCACGAGCTGTCGCGATCTTGACAGAGTCACCAGAAGCTGCTCTTTTGCCTCCTCCAATCGCGGCTAATACCTCAGTACACTCGCGGGAAATGTAACACGAATATTTCCGTACATAGAAAAAAAGATATGCATAATCAGAAATATTTAGTTGTGAGCAACCAAGCATTCCTCCTTACTTTTGTGTGATGATGATGTGTATAGTTGATATGACTCAGTTACTTTGGTATATCAACTTTATTATATCAACGTAGTTGCGCATGATCTGCTGATTGTAGTAATCAGAAATCGGGTGGGATAACATTTACCTCGGATACACTGAGAAAAGAAATACTTGTAAATTTATTTGTGGGATATAAAGTTTATTTACAGATATAAACTTTATTTCATAAAGGTAAACTTTGTATCACACAAGTAAATTGCTAAGATTTTTTTTCAGTATACATTCTGGTTGGGACAACCAGATATCAGCACTGTAATTTAATAATTGCTCTGTGGTTGCAGCAACTAGATAATTAGTTGTATTTTATTATTGTACCTGGTTGTGCCAGCCAAATTTACGTGTAGACCATAAACACCAAAGTAACACTGAACTCTGCTTCTTTTTGCAGGAACGCCTTCGACACCGGTGATACCAGGCGGCACACCCGGCACACCATCCTCTAAGGCGAAGGTACGTTCGCGCTTAGTCGAGAGATTGGCGTGGCAACTGCATTATTTCCGGTATTTTTATCTGATTTCTGCAATAAAGGTTGATTCATTTTGCCGCAGGAGAAGATAATGCTGCGGGCGAAAGTCGTGGTGGCTTTGTATCCTTTCCGAGCCATCGAAGGCGGCGATTTGTCTCTGGAGAAGGTGAGTAGCACTCCCGGATACATAAATATTTTTCTTTTGAACTGTGTTGCCGATGTGTCTAGGCTCTAACGCGATTGATACCAAAAACTACAAGATTTAAAACCTTTAAAATCACAGTCGAAGTTCTTTGGATATCCTGAATGATATCGTAACGCCTGTCCTTTCGTCGCTAACTTGAACTTTAAAAATAGCCAGAAGTCATATAGCCAAATGTTGCAGTAATCTTTTAGTTGTTGTAGTTTCAATCGATCAAAGTGATAAAATATGTAGTGGCAAAGATTAACTTTATCTGATTCCATTTTTGTGCCATCGCGTTAAATATGACGTTGTGTTCGAAACTATGAATTGTCAGCTATCAATTTTGGTCAACATTTAAAAACTAAAAAGGAAACTTAAAAGAAAATAATTACTAAGTCACTGCTACAGCCTTCTATTTGTGCCTCTACGAACTTTTGCTATCACCTAACAGCTGAAATGGCAAACTTCATAGCGCGATCACTCATTAAGAGATAGTGCTGCAGGAAAAGATTTTTAAAAAATCTGTCGTACCAGACTGTCGCTTGAACAGACTGGTACGATGCCGCAACGATACGACGTCGAATAGAACTCTTATTAACGATCTATGTTTTTACGATCGCGCAGGGCGCGGAATACGAGGTCTTGGACGACTCCCAGGAGCACTGGTGGAAAGTTAAGGACGAGAATGGGTATGATTTCTCTCAGACAGCGTGGAAATTTATGGGCGCTTCTTCTCTTAAAATTTTCCACACGATCGATGAGTCGACTTTACATTTCGTTTACACGCTTCTACGTCTGTCGTACATGCATACATACGTCGCGGCGTACGGCGACGACGACGATCGACCGAGCAAGCAATTGCGGAAGATAATCAACTACGACGCGTCGTAGTCCTCCCGCAAACAGCATTCTTAGCTGCTCTTGTATAATCGCTGATAATTATTCGCAATTGCCGGATTGTTTGTTCACGCGGTGAAGCGCGCGCGCGCCAAGCGTAATGTGCAGTTCGCGAGGAACCGGCTTGCGCGCAAAGTCACACGAAGCGTGATTTAATTGCAGATCAATTGGCTATATTCCCAGCAACTACGTCAAAGAGAAGGAACTATTGGGACTGCAAAAATACGAGTGAGTCTAACATATACATATCTCTCTTATCGTGTAATCTTTTCATTCCGCGTAATTGAAAATTCTCTCTAAAATACGATAAGTAAAATACTATACTTATAACTGATAGTTAAGATTATAAGATTATAACACTGCAATCGGTAAAATCTTACTGAGAGGATCGATCAGTAGTAGCAACTGTTACCACCATTGATGCAGTTTGCGAACGCAGACAGTGTTATTGCGCACAAGATGCATGGAAGCCGTTAATTCCATCATCACAAATGCAGGAAATTGGATTTGGTGTAACGTATAACAAATTTGTTGTATATTATTTACAATGAAATATATTATCAAAATCATGAGAAATAAGACAGAGCAGTAAAATGGGGGTGTTTTCATTGAATAATCACTGATAACCGGTGAAACAGTCTTTTTGCTGATTCAATCAGAAACATTTTTATTGATTCACTTTAAAGAAGCAATCAGACGACGCTTGATACGAAGCTCTTCCTTACATTACTCTTCTCATTTTTCATATTGGCTATCAATTATTGGCTGCCAGATATTCGATAGAGATTTCTCTCGCATAAATCGCGTAGAGCCCGTATAATGTCTGACAAAAGTCGAGGAAAAACGAGCGCGCTGCTTGTGCTGTTATAGATGGTACGTGGGCGATATGTCGAGGCAACGCGCCGAATCGCTGTTGAAGCAGGAGGACAAGGAAGGTTGTTTCGTCGTACGTAATTCTTCGACCAAAGGGCTCTACACACTCTCCCTTTATACTAAAGTGTAAGTTATAAGTCTCCTCGCTCGCTAATCCGCAAGTTTATCGTATCGCTCCGCGCGACCGAGCGACGTCGATTTAAAGCCGTGTCTCTTTTCAAATTTCACCTTCACCACCACCACTCTCTCTCTCTCCTCAAGCCGCTTATACTCTCTCCATTTGGTTAATCTAAGATTTTTTTATTTCGTCACAGGCCACATCCCCACGTGAAGCATTATCATATCAAACAGAACACCCGCGGCGAGTTTTATCTGTCGGAAAAGCACTGCTGCGGCTCCATTCCCGATCTGGTGAATTACCATAGACATAATAGTGGCGGCCTGGCCAGTCGACTAAAGACCAGCCCCTGCGATCGTCCTGTACCGCCGACCGCCGGCCTCAGTCATGGTTCGTAACTTTTATTCCCTCCCTTATTCGAAGTATAAAATATATGCGAGGGGAAAGAGGCAGAGAGAAGAAAAAACAAGAGGAGAGAACTTTTTCTCGGCTACTTGGCGCCACTTAACGGTCGACTTTTTTTCGCAGACAAATGGGAGATCGACCCGGCGGAATTGCATTTGCTGGAGGAGCTTGGGTCCGGCCAATTTGGAGTTGTGCGGAGAGGAAAGTGGCGCGGCTCCATCGACGTTGCTGTGAAAATGATGAAAGAGGGAACCATGTCCGAGGACGACTTTATAGAAGAAGCTAAAGTAATGACGTAAGTTTCAACCCAGTTTCCTTTATACCACGTTAAAAACTTTTCGACGGACGGACGACGTGCGTTCGGCCGGGACCCTTTTAATTTAGTTTGAGGACCTTGTGATACTCTTATCACAGGGTTTCCAGACAGAGCGACGTAACGTCGGTAAATTCTTACTTAACGCGCTCGTTATAACGGCTACTCACTGTTCACTGTGTGTTGGTTCGTTGTGTCCAGAAAACTGCAACATCAAAACCTAGTCCAACTGTATGGCGTCTGCAGTAAAGATAGGCCGATATACATCGTCACGGAGTACATGCGACACGGATCTCTCCTCAACTACCTCCGCCGTCACGAAGCCTCGTTAGGCGCAAACGTTGGCCTCTTATTAGACATGTGTATACAGGTAATGTCAATATTGTCGAGCAGGACACACTGTGTGTCGCCAACGTTCAATTTCAAGATAGCACGATAACCGAGACTGTGCCTACAGGTTTGCAAAGGGATGGCGTATTTAGAGAGGCATAACTATATACACAGAGATCTCGCCGCACGTAATTGTCTGGTGGGGTCGGAAAACGTAGTAAAAGTCGCCGATTTTGGTTTAGCTAGGCAAGTCACTCTATCGTCATTATTCCCGTTAAACGGGAGCTCCTCGGGCAAACTAGGAGTCGAGTTTTCTCCAATCAAGATATGTGAGAAGCACCGATGCTTTTCCGACTTGTAAGTTTTTTCACGGACGAAACTTTAACTCAAATGGACATTGAGGAAATTCGACTCCAGATTGCTTAACGCAAAATTGCAATTGCCATTGCAAGATAACGTATAATAGAAACATGTCAGTGTGAGAGAGTTGTAAGCTTCAACTAACCAAACGATTGCTTTCAGGTATGTGCTGGACGATCAGTACACCAGTAGTGGAGGCACTAAATTCCCCATCAAGTGGGCCCCGCCAGAGGTGCTCAATTATACCCGCTTTAGTTCGAAATCGGACGTGTGGGCGTACGGAGTGCTTATGTGGGAAGTGTTCACGTGCGGAAAGATGCCTTATGGTCGCCTAAAGAACACGGAGGTGGTCGAGCGAGTACAGCGAGGAATCATACTAGAACGACCCAAAGCTTGCTTCAAGGAAGTATACGAGGTAAGTCGTCGTGAGTTTCGCTCGCCGGAGTCTTTCGAACTCACACACAAACTCTCTCTGCCGGTTTTCAGGTGATGCGTAAATGTTGGGCGCACTGTCCCGAGGTACGACCGTCCTTCCGCGTCTTAAAGGAGCAGCTGATCAGCGTATCTCAAGGACTGGTTAACGATTGACTCAACCTTTTGCGGTGTATGCGCCTGTCCTCGCCTTCCTGCCGCTCGTTTCAGCAGCCGGCGTCAAAGTCACCGTCGTCGGAACGATCGCCTTCCACATTACCCTCGTCGAACTTATCGTATAACTCAGCAACGCTGCCGTCGTCGCGCAAGACACGCGCGCCCGCGTCTCCGCCTTCCTCAGCAGTCGATTTCCTTCATTCCTCATCGACCATGTGCAAATCAAAAGGAGAGGGCTCGTCATCGCCGAGTACACCCGGGCACCAAGCTAGTCAACAACCATCCTCGAGCTCGACTAACGTGTGTGACGTTTGCAGTTCTTACGGGCACCCGTGGATCGAAATATGCAAGGCGATACGAGCCACTAAAGGTAAATGAGCAGCGTGTGTGTACATACGCGTCTGTACGTGTGTACATGTAATGGAATTTATACTACTGTGTTTTCGCGGCTTACGACGTTACAACTGTAACGGTAATATGGAGATGCGGTTCTAAGCCTCCTCTTCCGCCGCCCCCCTTCCACACTTTTCCTCTGTCCCTGCGCCCAAACGCAATACTCATCTTTCTCGTCCCACTTTTTCCCCCGTGTCCGTGAATGCCGGAACGCTCACAATGTTCCGGATGTTTCCACAACTATGTCTGACACTGAGATGCGTGATATTATCGTGTGTTTCACATACTATTTTTCCCATATAATTTTTAGACTTTACTCTGTATCGTCATAAATTACATTTATAAATAGAACAATAGTATTTATTGATGGCCTTTTTGCAAACGAACGCAATATTCGAATTGTGATTCCGTCTAGAGTATCGTTTCTTTTTATATTATTCATTTTGACAAGCAGTAACACGTTTTTGGAATCGGAGATATTGTCTCTGCTTAAATAAACCGATTGAATAAATAACCGTCCTGCTTATTGTCTGTCGTATTATGTTATGATTGATATGCGCGACTATATACACAGAGCAAGGAAGCGGTCGCGAATAGCCGCGCGTTTTGATCCCGCTAATGGATTGGCCGTGTGCCATTCGGGATTGTCTTTCTGGACAGACATGAGCGGTAAGTGATTTATTATTTGGCAGCAGTTGGTGAATTAGCAGCCATTGCGAATGGTCCCGTTGTAAATCTGAGTCTCTGCGTCACGTGTGTGCGAAATAAATATTGATAGCAGATATTAAATAATACACGCAAAATCGTGCTAAATTAAGAGAGAAAGATATATTTATGTCCATAGCAAAAATCTATATTTACGGTTTCTGTGACAGGCAACGATGACAGAGGGAAACGAAGAATTTTACATAAGCGCAGATATAAGTTGCGTTTATTAAAACTTCCTTAAATCCGCCTGCAAACTTAAATGCAGATTCGAAAGAAAAAATAAAATACTCGTCGTGCGCCGATCCGACGTGGGATGTAAACTCGCCGCTTGTGATATCGAGTTTACGAGGATGAAGCAGCACTGGTGTCGTAAGTGTTAACAAAGAAATAAGTACTTAATACGTATCTCCTATACAATTATATAAACTACGTTCTATTTAGTTACATAGCAATATATATAAATGAATGAGTGGGATGAATATTATTCACACCCCCGCACATTTACAGCGACAGGCATATGAGAAGCGCAGAGATCCTTGGAACCCTTCCACATGAGGAGGTTTATTCTTACTCATGCCTGGAACAAAGATATCGTTATTAAAAAAAGAAAAAGAAACGAAAGAAAAATTCGTAGCAACAATTAATGTATTATGAGGATTGTCGACCTTAGTGAGTCGATGCTCAACTGTCGTCCGTGGGTTTTGGGTATATTAGCTATCGATATGTGATTAGATATCAGGTAACTGAACATGCAATTAGATATCAGGCGACTGTATTACTCGTGTATCGAGGAGGACCTTCACGAGGTTTGGTTGATGGATTGATTGATTTTATATACGTGCTCTCTATACCTGCTTTTTTAAGGGGTACACGAACGACACCACGCTCTTGTCCATATTGTTCGATTGCAACCTGCAGGTGTACGCGCCCATGTCTTCCCACTGAAGATTCTTGATCCGCAGATCGCCGTTCGGCATCACAGCGTGCCTCGCAAACGCTGACGTACCGATTCTGTTACTCATGTTGTCCAGCCAAGATACGTATGACGTGGGCTGGCCTTCAACCCTGCATGGTAGAACCACCGTACTCCCCTGAATAGCGAGTTTCCACGCAGTGTTCAGGGTGATGCTGGGCTGGTTATGGCATTCCTCGGTCCTGGTTATGGCGTTCCTGGATCCTATTAGACAGAATAACATTATAACGAGATCCGACCGACAGTCCGACGATGGTGCGCAAGTTCACATTGTTTCACTTACCATCAACCAAGAGTAACGACGGCTGCGAGTACGCTACTTTATCGTTAGACACGGACACACAGTATCTGTAACCTGCATCTTCGGGCTTCACACAATCGATCACATATGTGGAATTCAACTCACCGAGCCCTTCCCATTCTGCAGGTACGACATTACCCTCTTCCCGAACCCGTGTTATCATATCGCGGATCTACCGGAATAACGACAAATGGATGTAAGGAGACGCGCCAAGTCGCCATGATTACTTATTAGAAAGGCAAGACCCGAGGTGGGGGGAAGCAACTCTCGTTAGGAACGCTGAAGAATGAGGATGAGGTGATATACGATGAATCGCAGGTGTTTGTATAAGTAACTACGACGGATTTCAGACTCTCGAGCGGCCGCGGAACATTTCGCTTCTGGTTTTTCTGGTTCCAGTCTTATCTGGACCTGGAAGAGGGGTCAGTCCGCGAGACACCGACCGAGACTTGGACCGACCGCGAGTGCTTGAACGTCGTCGTTATTTATGCAGACACACCTTTGCTGGATTATTCATCACAAGTTAACTCGAGGATCAAGCCGAGCAGGTCGGCGCGAGCTGTAATAAAGCGCGATATAATCGCGAGACCTACCTGTCTCTCAGCCTCTGGCCCGCTGAACCAGTAGATCCGGGGCGGCGGATTTCCAGCTGCCACGCATCGCAATTCCACGCGACTCCTGAAACGAAATATGTGATGAGCGGCGAATCGCGACACGCTCGATCACGTTACCGCCTCGTTGACTTGTTATCTAAGCATGCGCACGAGCGAGCGAGCGAGCGAACGCGCGCACGCACGCGAGAGCACACACTCACCCCACGGAAACTTGCAGTGACTCTGGTTCCTGCGAAATATGGGTCCAAGGCCTCATGTTTTTCTGCAAAAACGTTTTACGAATATTCGGGTGTTTAAAGAACGGAAGATAATATCTGTCTGGATACGGCACGCCATTGAACTGAAATTAAAGAGGCAAACGTAGTCAGTAAGTCAGTGAGTCAGTAAGTAAAGTAACGAACGAAAACGAGAACGAAAAGCAAAGAAAGAAAGAATCAAACGAAGACACAAGAGAGGACGAGGAAAGAGAACAGAGGAACGGGGCTATTCTCACGAAGTTTACGAACTCTATGAGATTTAAGCTTGCGCGTAATATACCCTTTCGTCGGTCAGTTCCACGTCTCCTTCGCTACTCGCCATTGCACCAGGTTGACCAATCGCCAGCAGTAATATCAGAAAAATATTAAGTATGAGGGACACCAGTGAGTCCCCGGAAATACCTCGTGGTTGCATCTTGCAAGATGATGAGGATACCTGTAACAAAAGAAGACTTTGCAAATCAGCCAGTTGGAGAACGCGAGAGGAATACGTAGTCTCGTCTCGTCTCGGGGAGAAGGAACCGACGGATGCGACGAGGAGGAGGTGGACTCACCTCGCTTGGTTGTGCGCGTTTCACCGCGCGTTTAAATACTGAGAGCCAACGTCGCGCTCGTCTATATCCGTGGCACACGAGCCGAATTAATGAAACGACGGACTACAGGTGAGAGCGTACAAACGCGCGCTTCAACGAACAACTGACGACGATGACGATGACGACGACTACGACGACTACGACGACGACTATGTCGTTGTACGTTTACTCGTTCGTTCGTCCGGCAGATCCGCTCGATTTTCAATGTATTATAATTACACTTGTGCGTATGTCACACGTACGGCTCCGAGTATGCGTTTAATGCGCGTATATACGCGTGCAATAAGAGAGCGACTGATTTACGTTGAATTGCTGAGCGGCTAATGCGTCTCATGTGTCATGCAGGTCGTCTAAAACTTGGAAAAGAGGGCAGGTCGAAAGCGGACGTGAATGCAATGTCACAGTAATTGTTGCATCATCCTTTTTTTCGGCTTGAGCCGGTTTGACCTGACTTGACCGGGCTTAAGAGGGATCGTGCTAGTCGGGACCGGCCTTGAGGGACACGTGCGGGAGACACTCTTCATAATGGATGCTCTTCCGTTTCTTTTTTACCTTTTTTTCCCCCTTTTCGTACGCGTTCTCCCACGGCTGGAGCGCGCGGCTTTAATTTCATGCTCTCCGCATAGGATTTACGAGCCTCTCTCGTCGAGACGCTCGTCGATTGAAACACATTCGCTCGTCCTTTCTGCCGTTCGATAATATCACACGCGCTCATAAGAGCCCGGCGCGTAGACAGACCGACCGCTTTTGAATAACACGTGCGCGAGAGGCGCTCCTTGGAGAGCGGATATCACGGCTCCTTCCTTCGAATTGCGCAGTTTAACCGGCTCTCGTGGGATTGGATTCGTAGACTCTAACGAGATATTGTTAATCGATACATTTGCGCGCATCTCCTTCCTGCTACGTAGGCTCTTTTCACACGTGTTTCGCGACACCGAACTGGTGATTTCGCCGAGAGAGAAAGAGAGGAAGAAAAAGAGTAATAGATTCAAGCGACGTATAATTGATAGGTGTAAAACATAATAACTCTCTTACCTCACGCACGATGTAACAAGTTTTCCCTGCAATGGGCAAGTCTTGCGTCCCGGAAGAGCGTTTGGCAGTTAATGAAAATGGGAAGAAAAAAGGGCAAGCGCTCGTGGTTTACCAGCGATGAACCGAGAGGACCCGACTGAACAGAGGTGGAACGGTTATTGGTCCATTTATACATTTCGAATGTAACAGCGGGCGCCCTTCCCTTTTCTCCGATTGGCCGTTATTACCGGGGAGTAGGGCGATAATACCACGGCAAACAATCGAATTCATTATCTTCACGGGTCGTTTGTATCCGCGTAATAGATATCCCCAATTTGTTTCCACCCCTCATCTACGTCCATCGATTTTTATTTCAAAAGGGAACGACACAATAATTACTTTTATTGAATGCGATCCTATCAGGAAGGAAATGACTCCAATTATCCGTCAGATCCATATCTCGCACGTGTGGAAATATTTTTATATTTTCCTCTCCTTTTTTCTCCCCGTTTTCTCTTTTTATCTCTTTTTTTCTTTCTCTCTCTCTATCTTTTTCTCTTTCTCTTTCCCTCGTGCAATACACGAGCGACCGCAGGTAAGACACCTGTCATATTAGCAGATCTTTAACAGAGCGTTATTATTTAACAGAGCGCTGGGAGATAAGCAGCGTCACCTTGACTTCAAACTTGACGAGTAAAGAGATCAACGAAGCGATGGAAATATTTTGCCTTGGAATTTCGTTGACGCCCTCCCTAGTGGGACCTTCAGTATTATATAAATTATATTCACTCGATATCTATATGTTCAAATGGAGATAATTAGCGATTTTATCGAACGGACGTTTCTCCACCTCCGCCAGCTCGTGTTCTTTTTGCTCTCCCCTGAATGATCTTTGTAATTAAACGTAACAATTTGCGATCGTTCGCGAGGACACATCGAGATTTTTACGGAGATTCACATTCGTTAGTTTACGTAAGAGAGTGTCACACATATTAGAAGATTATCGGTTGCACGACTTCAACGAGGTGATATTCACGCGCTATATATCTCCTTTTTATGTCACCTTTATTACGAATCGATCGGTGTGTTGTATCTTTCGTTTTATTAGTCGCAATAATATTTCATCGTTTCCGCGTAATTTAATGTCCGCTGAAAGATAAACGAACGTTATTGCGATCGTCGACAATCCAGAACACAATCGAGATGTAGACGACTGATTTTTGCAATAAAAATAACATAAAAAGGACAGAAGAAGGTAGTTACGTAAGATAATTCTGAAGTTAGCATGCGATACATCGTATTTGAGAAGATTTAGCATCAAACTTGTCGAACTTACCGTGGACGAAACCGAGCTTATGCGATGAGCACGTAATTCGCGATTAGAATCTTGTTAAATAGGAAAAGAAGCACTCGCGTTCGGCTATCACGATAGCGCTATGAAAATTCACGATAAATCGTAAGCAGCAGGTCGTAAGGTCTCTTTGTAGTTTGCGGAATAATAAACATTTTTTATCGATAACGACCGACTATAATGTTGGGATTTACGCGGATAACGAGCTGTTATCAAATAGTATGAATTTCAATAGCCAACGATATCTTAAATAATATTATTGTAGAGGATTCTAAATATTTACAGAAATATAATAATTCACTGACGTATTTTGAAGCCTGACGTATGCATTTGCCTACAATTAAGCAATCGTTTCTGTTACTGAGCTAAAGAATGAGATAAATTGCAGTGAAAAAAGAAAGAAGAAAATGCAAATTTGCTTGAATTGAACGTTAATAATCGCGAATGATTACAGACGAAACGATATTAACAAGATCGTGTATCGTAGAGATTTTATTTCTCCAAACGCATAATAAAAATACATATTTCATGTCACAAATATATACATCTCCGTGTCGACACGATAAATTTATGAAGTTCCGCCAAAATCGGAACACACGTGCGCACACTGTATGCCCGTTGCGAATAAAAACATCATAGTGCACCCATCGCGAGCGGACGACGTTCGAGTTTGAGGTAGTATCTTCGGTGAAATTTTCGCTTTCGCAAGCATTTCGCGTCGAAAACGCGAGTGAAGTATCATTATGTCGGCCAGCCGTGACGTTGATAATGCTGACGTCCTATGAGAACATGATCAGTCGACGTTTCACATTATTGACTCCATCCTCATAAATTTCAGACGCTGCTGCAAGAGATCCTCCTCCGCTTTCATCTCGTATCTTGAACCCGCTGGTTGTATCAGCGACCTGAGAATTAGCATTTGATCCCGATCACTGTCCCAATCGTCGCAAGAAACGCTTGGTACTGCGTCATATACTTACAGATCCGAGCACAACTGCGCAAAATGCTGCGGTATGAGGTAGCGCGCATGCGGAGAGAGATCCAAATACGGATCGTTGACGTTTTCCGAGCTTTCCAAGCCTTCGAACCTAAAAATAATAAATATACTTATTTCGAGTACGACCTGGGAAGTTTCGCGTCGCTGAGACAATTTCCAAGATCTCGTTAAAAAGATACTGTATTATATATATATCGGATATACCCCACGTGGGACCTCACCTCACGACGAAGTGTTTGCGATACTGAAACATGAGATCCTTCGTATTGCGTTTTGCCAATTCAAGTACAACGGGAAATGCCACGTCGCGGAAATCGCCTATCTCGTAATATTTGCTGAGTTTATTCAAGTTCGTGTCGCTCTCCCTCGAGTTTGATATAACTACGGATCTTGTGGCCGACGTATCTATCCAAACAACGCGACATCCGCTGTTAAGCAATCTGGTAAACCATAAAACAGCACCGACTCTAGCTACATCATTCCACTCAGCACCGTCATGCCAGTCATGCACCTTAAAAGTATGATTTATATCATGAAAAATCACTTTCGATCTCAGATATACTTTTAATCTCTCACAACACATATAAATCCCCTTGATCTTGATTAAAAACACTTTTAATCCTCAACTTTTTATCCTCACTACAACACATTACATTCAAATTATTTCGACGATTACTTTGACGTGAAACTTACGGTGCAGGAACACATTTTGGTGAGCATCTCACGGAAATCCTTCATCATCGTCATAAAAGACACCGAACTTTTAGTATATAAAAGTACAATGTCGTCATACGCGAGATTATCGCGATCGATATCCTTTTTGCTGTCGTTGCTCTCAACGATGTCGAAATCGGTGGATTTCAGACAAGTAGAATTCGTGAAATCATCCTGTTGCGGATTTACGTACAGATTGACCCCCTCGTTGCGAAGGCGTAAATAATGAATGAAATATAATGCTCCAACTATTGCCAATACGACCAATATGATGGCAATGATTGGCAACAATAAATATGAGCCTGTATGCAGCAACTGACTCGACTTTGCTACATTTTCAATTTGTTCCGAGGTTTTGAAGATTCTAGTGCAACCTGCAAATATAATTTACAATATGGTTATTCTATATTCTAGAGTACAAGATAGATCAAGCTCTAATTACACATTCTATAAGCATTTATAATAACATTTGACTTGTACTTACGCTTCAACCATGTGCACGTTGTCCTTTTATACATAGGTGGTTTCCAGATAGTATCTTTATGGCACCGTTCGTCAATTATAAACAATATGAAACAATAACCTGTTGTTTGCGTAGTTGAAAATTGCACTTGAAAATTGCATTGCACAGTCTTTATGTATTCCCCGTTTCCCCGTACCTGTGTCCGATATCAAAATTTCTTTCTTTTTTTTATGTAATTTACACACACACACATAATGGATAAAAATAAAATCAATGCATTCCACTCTTCCTGCTCTTTTTCAATACATCAATACAATTGAAAGTGATATATAAATATTTTCTTCACTCACTATGCATGTAATTATTTTATAGATTGTATAATAAACAGATCTCAACTGAGACTACAAAATACATAAACTACAATATTGAATTAATGAAGAGTGTTATATTTACCACATTTATACTGCAACTAGCACTTTCTGATGTCTTGTTCTTCTGTAAAAATAAGACATCACTTTCTGATGTCTCGTTCTCCTGTAAAAATAAGACATCAAATATGACTGTTGGTTCAGTCAAAACAAAAAGAACATCTTGCAGGAACCAAATCCCAATAATCAAATATTACCAGATCAACAATCCACGTACGATTTGGCAATGCAGACCAGGAACAAGGTAAAGTTTTATCACGATCTGGTATTATTCCAATTTTAAGTAATGGTCCTGTATCTGCTGGTAGTGAAGTATGTAGTGTGAAATTTGTTATTTCATGTCTGGAAGCATAAGTATTTACACCTTTACAAGAAGTAACTTTTTAAATAAACACCTTAAAAAATACACTTTGAGAATTCACACCTTGGCAAAAAAGCAAAAAGGCAGAAGCCAATCAAAACTCACATTGATTGATGGGCAAGTGATAATCAACAGTTCCTGTTTTTCTATCATCATAAGTTCTGATTGGCTTCTGCTTTTCTGCCAAGGTGTGAATTTGTAGTTGAAAACTGATTCAATGATATAATAATGTAATTTTAAGTTTTTAGATATTTTGGTGATATATATTGAGATATGTTAGTATACCTTTCATCATGAGGATATATGTCATATTTACAGGTAAATTCTGGTTCCATAACTTCCATACGTCTATAAGAGGTATTTAAAAACTTATGACCTCTTATTATGTATCCCTGTTCTCTACCAAGATAAAACCGTAATGCATAACATCCTGTGAAGATATAATAGAACTCCAGCGAGATATTATCCTGAAATAATAATTGAAATCTCTAACTTATGAATATATATTCATATATTTAAAAGATCTTACAAGATCATGTTATATATTCCTTGTACATACATGGATCATTATCTATTCTCACCTTGCATAAGGATACTGTTGAATTATCATTATATTTTACAAGCTGATTAGAACTATTTGCAATAATGTACAAAGACTTTTCTACAGTATGTATATTTGCATTAATATCATTAAGTTCAAATTTATACTCTAAACATTCTCTTTCATTTTTGATAGATGGTTCAACCAATAAGGTAACTCCATAGCCGCACTCCGTTTTAGGAGCCTCAAAATCAATCTTGAAATGATCTTAAACAAAATAGAAGATTTAACAGGCATAATCATGTTTATGAATGTTTTATGGATTAAAACATTCAGTGATATACCTCCTCTTTCATTTTTAGTAGATATTTTGGTAAAGTTGAATTCTGTAGGAACATCTTTGTCAGAACAATAATTAACTGAAGAATCATACATAACTACATTGTAATTATGCACATTTCCAGGACATTTTTGCTCAAAAAAATCCTGAAAGAAAAACAGGATATGTACCACTGTACTAAAAGCAATTTATGCTTAGGTTTGCTAAATCAATAAATTAATTGTCAAGAAACTGTGGATTATACTTTTATTTCTTATCGCCATCACACATATTTATCTACTGCCCACATGTAAACACTAAACAAATTGCAAAACTGTGACAAGGTCACATGTTGTGCTGGAGATAAGTAAGCTTGCTGTGTAACTCACATTGCACTGCACATCGCTCAAAGTAAATCCAGTCCATATAGTCAGAATAAATAAAAGCAGATAGACACTGTACATTATCCAATCTTGCTTTTGTAAGATACACAGCTATGCCGTGTAGGTCAAGGACGTGCCAAGCCAGGCTTGCGAAAAGGACGACGTATAAATTACCGAGTGATGAGCATATTTCGATTTAACCAAAATGCAACAATATTCTTTATTAACAATTACAGTCTTTTAGCACAAACGAAGAAGATTAATCTTTTGCACGCACGGTCGCGCTTAATTAGCCCACAGGTGGAACCGCCAAATTCGAAAGCGAAGCACTTAGCAACACTCGGCAACCGTAACACTTTGGAATTTTGCAATTTTATTCGAGTAATCAATTTCCAAACCACAACAGTTAAGCACAATCCTAAACGGTTCACTTCTAAGTTTTTCAATTAACTTCTTCTAGCTTCTGGCTTCGTATAAGACAGCGTTCAATTAGTATTGTCGGCGCGTATAGTTTTCAACACATAAGCAAAGGCAAATATCCGAGAAAAGAGAAAGGTGATATCCTGCGCCAACACTTTTATCAGAGAGAAGTCTGAGAGCGACCTCATGGCCGTCATTTGGCAGTTATTTTATTTTGAAGCGCCTCCATAGCAATAAAACAGGAACTGCGTAGTCAATGTGCACAATTCTATTCAATCGATAATAGGTGCGATTTTCGTGATTTTATTTTGCGTGTTATTTATTTCGAGACGATTTTTGAGGTCTACAGCTATTTTCTTCCTCTTGTCTTTGCTACCATCGAATATATAATTGGATAATTTCTGTGCTCAGTTTCAAGATCGTTAATTTTAATTAGACCTTTGGGATTCCTCTTAACATTAGAAAAAATCTTACCAAAGATAGTTTCTATCATAAAAATTACAATAATATAAATATAAATATATAAATGAGTTAGATAAAAGAAAATTATGAACATAGCACGGACACACCAAACAAAGATTTTATCGACTGTGCCTGAAAATGGATATGACTAAATAGTTCTAACTTAAGGCGAGCAGATGGCGTATGAAACAGTCGTGCAAAACGGTATCGAGTAAAATACCGGCACAGTCAAGCTCATCTTTGGTTAAAAAAGGCTGCTTATCGTAGTATCAAGCAAGAGAAGTTCATAGTATACAAATTTACAGACCTACAAAAATGGATATACGTACTTTAGGCAAGCGATTGGGACAACATATTGGCAGAGAGGCGATCGTTTTGGGTAAAATCACAGAGGTAAAATCGAAACAGTATTTCAAGTTAATTTTGTTTAGTTAGGGGCTGATTTTTCCAATCTCTTGGTAAGCTAACAATTAAATCATACGGGTAATTATACAATTTAGAATCCTTCCTCACCTTAGACTTGGCTGAAACTCAACAAATATCTCGTTTCTTCAGCTAAATCGGAAGACTATAATTACAATCATATATTTGTCTTTGTTTTTTCTCCAAATTAGATATGATTTAACTGTTAATTTATCAAGTGGTTGCAAAAATCGGCTCTAGGTAAAACTATGATAACGTCGCCATTGGTCCAAGCCTGGTTACAAAGTAGTAATGATTTATATTGGTTGCTTTCCAGCAAGAACCAAGTCGACACAAGTATCATCTTTTCTTTGTTACTCACTAAATATGGAACAAAGATAGAATGATGTTTGTGTCAACTTGTGTCTCTTGTTGGAAAGCAACCATTTTAGCAGTAATTGTAATAATCCGCATTGAACTGAGAGATAATACATATACAATGCAAGATAATTATATAAATTATATAACTAATGTATGTATGAATGTATAATTTGTACAATGTATTTGATATAATTTGCAGAAAGGTCCAAGTGGTATGAACATAGAATTGACAACAACAGATAACGCTCTAATTAATGTGACATTACCCGAGCCACTTGACCAAGACGTTTCAGGTTATGTAGAAGTGCGTGGTATAGTGAAATCAAAGTCTACCTTGTTATGCAAGAGCTTTGTATGCTTTTCTCCTGACATGACAAAAACCTTTGGTGAGTAACCAACCTTTCAATTGACTATTCTAATAAATGCATCGATATCATTTTGACAAAGATATTTGCCACAGATGAAAGTGAATACAATACCATGATGCACACACGTCATGCAGTAGGCGATCAGTTGGATGGAATATTCTATAAAGATTAGAACTGATATGATTATGTAAAAATTATTTACTGTGTTCATTGTTTACATTTTTTACATTCCATTTAACATAGTAGTATGTACGCTTTCTGCAAAATAACAAAGAGTGCTGTTGTGTGTGAAGGAAATCATCAGAACATTATTCTTTTTTCTGTACATGAAGCACTATAAGTACATCTATTAAGTATACAAATTATAAAAAATCCTGAAACCATAAGAAACCCACTCATTATCACTCTTGTTTAAAAATATGAAGAAATCTGCACGATACTCACTCTTATTTAGCGGATGTATCCAATGACAAACAGCGGCAAGTGCACGATGTTACTGGACATTCAGAATGTTGTCTAAAAAAAAGAAATTATCACATAAAGATGAATAATGTATGTTGCAGACTTTCTAGTACTGTCTTGTACACTTGCCTCTTTTTTGGACTATATTGATGCTATTTTATTAATCTGTTATTTAGTTCTCAATTTTGTTATTCAATGATTTACCGTTTCATGTCGATACGAACGTAATCGGTAACTTCTTACCGAAACCATTGAGTAATGTGCTCGGCGTGTCCCCCGTGCTTGCACGTTTGACACCATGTGAACCAGTTATTAAATTCCGTGAGCTTGCTATCGCAATCCTCGCTGCGATTAACGCTGGAGGTGGTCAGTCCGCTGACGGTGCCCATGTACATCAAACATATTGCGCAGCGCGGCAAAGGTTTGCGACAATTCGGGCACGCCGACATCTACGAACCAAGGGAACCATTGAGAAGGAAAGAAATGCGTTATGTTATAATAATAAGGCAAGTAAGAGCCAGCGCCCATGTTGAAGTAAATTTCATAAAGATATATACATAGACACGAAAAATACACTATTTAAATATTGTTGTATATTGTGTATTTTCTGTCTTACTTGCCTTATTATTTTAATATATGATTGTATATCTAAAGAGCGCTTAGTCATTGCATATTGATTATCTTCTCAAATAGAACTAGTGAGAACTTACTTTCAATTTGTTAGAAGTGCTGCCTAATCTACCAAACGGAGCTCGTGCTCTGCTCAGACCTTGCATGAAAGCCGCGATGCTCTTGCCGCAGAAATTACAAGAAACATATATCTGCTGTGGCGGACTCTCGTTTGTGGAGGACTTCATAGCAATGTCGAATTGAGCTCTTTGATTCCACATCTTCCACGCGTCTAAGAGATTCCTGTAACTATAAGGGCGAACATTAATGCATGATTAACGCAAGTGCCACGCGTAAACATTCGATAAACATTCGTAGGAAAAAAAATTGATTAATACTTGGCAATCCACACTTGAACTTGATTCTCCTGAAGCAATTTAGGCGTTAAGGCTCTAATAGCGATTAAACTACAACTCTGAGCGTCCCCGGTGATCTCTAAGTATCTATTTAACAACTGTATACCTTCCACACTCGCACCTAGAACACAAGGATGCATTGATAAATGAGCATTTATAGTAGTCGGAGGAATTGAGAAGTTGACATACATTCTCTAAAAAATATTATCAAAATTTGAAACGTAAAGACAATGCTTTGGGAAAATGCATGTCTGTTAATTGAGACACACCTGTAAGCAAGAAGCCTGCTAGATTTCCCTCTTCGGTTAATTTCTGTGTCAATCTCTTCAAGTAATCGTGCAGCTTACTGTCCGATAAGAACATCAGGGCGAACGCTACTCGATCTTCAACAGCCATGCCGCTTTCGTTCTACCAAAATAAACGCGTCGAGTTCATCGAATACCTAATGATTTTATCGGGGAAATAGTTTTACGTACAAGTACATTCTCATAGGAATCATTGTCTGCGGTTAAGAAGGCGAATGTCGCTCTCAGGTAAGGATCCGGCAATTGAGATCTAGATTTCAAACAGGATTCCCTCCACATGCTGTTGCGGTCTTCAGAAAAGCCGGACAATGCCATAGCCACGATATCTAGATTGGCGGTCATGGATAATTTACTGGCACCTCGATTCAAGATTTCTATCGCCTGTCTGAGGCAAAGATTGAACACCGCGAGTGCCGCTGCTCTTGCGTACGCGCCCTCTCTTTCCAGCCCTTCCAGATATGTATTATCGTATAGACCGTTGGTCTCTTTGTCGAATCGCAAACCACATAGAAGAAGACTCTTGTCTCTGTCCGCGGATCTACGTTATCATCAATGAAGGCACATTAAGCGCGTATGAACATTTCTATCTTATCTACTTTAATTTACAATCGTTACCTATAGATCTTCGCCGTGTGATTGGAACCTATGTCCGTCCACGAGCGATGAATCAGTTCAGACTTCAAGAAACCATTGACCGGATTCTGCTGACCGTCTAATTTCAGAACTGTTCTACGTAAAGTTTGGAGGAATGAAGCCACATATGCTTATTGTACACGCACTAGCTGTAGCTCGTCGTAATTTTTACCTTATACCGGGATGCTTATTGTCGACGCTGTGGATAGTGCCGTCTTCCACCAAGGCGCCGCTCAGATACAACCATTGCCATAAATGCTTTAAAGTCTCGCTCTCGGCTAATTCCCCGTTTTGCGCTAAATCCGGCTGCAAATATGATATATGAATGATTTGAATACATGTGTGTTCACGCGATAATTATTGTGAAGATTGTGAGAATTTCGGAAGGAGAGAAACAGATTCAAATAAACTCCTTATACATATATCAGTGTTTAAAGCACATTAAGGATGTGCTTCTCCTTATTTTATCTACTTACAAGCAAACCATATTCCGCATTGGCGCGTTTCTTAGTTAAAATCGCAATGTCGTCCAATGTCTTGTACGTGTTATCCTCACTATTTATGTATTTCAACGATTTGAATGCATGATTCCACGTCAGACGCGATCCAGAGGACCAGCTAACTGTTATCCTCTCCCACACAGTGTAATCAGTTATGCCTGTGAAATAATTACGTTTCTGTGAACTTAAACAATATCACAGTCATATTTTAGATATCGTGTAATAAAAATATCGTCAAACCTTGTTGAGATATTGCCAGTAATCGATTTACATGTGTCGGATGCCACGAAAAGTTCACGGGAATGTGCCAGGATGGTACAACCGCCCTCTCCAAGACGCCAGGCTCTGTATCTTCTCCTCCACTGTTTTGTATGTCATACAGATGTAATGCTCCTATAAAAAAATCATATTTTCACTTTGACTCTTGTTCATATATAGTAACTTATATTACAGCACTTGTGATATGAATTACAAGGTCCATTAGAAAGAAGTTCCATTAAATATATGTATATCATATGGTACCTGAATCTTTCTGCAAAGCACCAAGGAGATTGCGTCTAGTAGGACACCAGAGAACCTTTGTTATCTGTTTTAATTGCACCAAGGTAAGAACAGGCTTATCAAAACATCGGATATCCCACATTGTGATTTGATTATCAACATGTGAAACTAAATGATGGGTATGATAGGGGTTTACTGATACATTGTAAACAGCCTTTGTAGGAGTGACATTTACTACTCTGGCAGAATCTAGTGAGAAGAAAATAAGTCATTATATTAATAAATTGATTATATTATTAATAATATTAATAGCTTTTTTCTTTTGTAAGCATACCTCTAAAGTCAAGCATTTTCAGCTGTTTGTTATTGGCACCAAGAACTAGACATTTTGGATCATGTTTGAACCAAGCAGCAGAATGTATAGTTTCTGATACACCCAACTCTGCTATTGGTCTGATGCAATCCATTTGATTACTGCCATGATGGTGCATTCGTTCTGAATATTGTGGATTTTTATCTATATCCCACAACAGCACGGAATGATCCTTACTATGTTTGTCCAAACCAGATAGGATTAGATGTTTGTCCACAGGATTCCATGCAACTACATTACAAGATCTTGCATGCTTTGGCACTGCAATTTTATCCAAGATTGTGTAAATTATACAGCATATTATTGAGACAATTCTTTCACAAATTATCATAACATTATGATTTACCAAATTCCTTTCCTGTAAGACCCAAGGAATCATATGCTGTAGGACCAAAAGTACTTAAAACTACCTTTCCATTTGCATGACCAACTGCTAACAAGATGTCAGGTTCCTGTTCTGGATATATATCAATACACTTGACATAATGATTACTGGAGTTAGTAGCAAGGAGGTGAGCAATAGAGTGGTCTGAGATCTTTAGACCTGTAACAAAAAAATGATACATATAAGAACATGCTATAAAACACATCAGCAAAAAAATTTTAGATAATAAAGCAACAAAAAAGTTATTTTATTATATGCTTACAGGACTGCTCAAAACTATCCTCCAGAGGCACTACTTCATACAAATTAATCTCAGTACCCCATGTGATGAATTTATTCTGATGAACAGGAGACCACTGCACATCTAATTTAATACTACTCATCTTTCTTTCCTTTTTATCCCTTTTACAACGATTCTGTTATGAAACTGCGAATCATCGTATCGCTGTGCGATGAAGCAATTTAATCTTCATGCTGTCACACAGCAGAAGCCCCAATATTTTACCGCAATTATAATCTTTGTGACGTATGATGTGATTATTAACGTGTAGTATATATATTTCGTCTTCCTTTTCCACTGGATATCTGTTCCTCTGACGAAAGAACGTCACCTTTTCTTTCGTTTTCTCTAATGTTCTAGGCCACGTTTCCTACAAAAACTTCTAAAAATTACTATATAACTGATAATATTTTGATTGTATCACGTCTACAATAAAACTATCAATATTGGATAAACCCAACATAACCTGATATTAAATACGACCCGAGAGACACCACTTTAAAGCGACTTTAGCCGTGCTCCGCGCACGCGTGCAAAATATAGTTTCTCTTTTATTCACCAGGCGCGCAGTAGTTGCATCTGTGATTGGATCATACCCTAGAAGAATACACCAATCAGACGCAATAACCATTAGGCGCTAACTTCAATTAGGTATCAGTCATGAATCTTCTTTCACATAAACTTAATAACTTAATCTTACTTATAATAAATGCAATTTGTTTTTCTAGTATAAAATCAAATAAAATGAAAATTGAATATTTTTTCAATGCTTGAATCTTCTCCAATATGAACTTGCGAAAAATGATATCTAAAAGACATCTTGTGCAACATTTCGTTGCATAAGACGTCTTTTAGATTTTTTTCGACAGTTTTTAGACATGCATGTTATCTGGGTTTCTGTGTGTATTTTTAAAGTTAGACTTTACTATTAATGAGACGAATGCATCAGGGACAATGTTCCTGATTTGGAGAGAACGTGGATCATTATGCAAGGACGAGGACCGCGTGTGGAAAAGTGGAAAAGAAATACGTTCGGGTCGTTTTAATATCCCGCTCAAGTGACAGGTTGGCGCCACGAGTTGTTGCGCTTTCCCACGCGCGCGGTATCGTCCACCAAATTCAAAATAGCATCTATAAATGTGAGGGACAACGAGCCCTCGTAGATGCAAACCACGAGGATAACCACGATAAACGACAATTAAATATAGTTGATTTTTTGAACGACCAGGAGACTGACGAGAAGACGGTTGTGCCGCGCTGTCGATTGTGGCACGCGCATCGCCGACTTCCGCTTCCGTAGATCGTTAATATCGTCGCCATCATAGCGACGGGGACACGGGATAGTTACCGTCGTCAGGTTTATCCTCCAAAAATCGTCGTCGTTGGCGACGGAAGCGGGAGACCGACTGCTCCCCCGAGAGAAGCGAGCGTTCCGCTCCGCCGCTATTCGCGTACCTCCGTGCACCACCGCATCGGCCTGTCGATCAGTCGACACAATCGGAGCACGTATTTTTTTACTACTTTGGTACTGACAAAACATGGCTTATTGAAGAAGATGAAGGGCCTGCGAGAATATATCGTTTCTCCAAACGGAGGAGACCGCAGCACTGACGAGGCGAGCTACCAGACCGAATTGTACGGTCGTCGCGCAAATGGACATAAAGAACAAATTTCCGCCGTCCCCGCCCAAGGGGGCCGGTGTTGATGCTAAGAAGAATCAAGGTGCGTGTTATTAATCCTGGTGGGTCACAGCAATTAGCATGCCAGCTGTTTCGCTGAGTCGTTGCTCGCGCGTTTCCTCTGTGCTCAATTGCACCTTGGTGTCTTCCCTCATGTGTTGCGTTTTTTTTCAGATGTCGTTAATACCAAGATCTATCCGCAGAAGAGGCGCAAAAGAGAACTTGCTAGCGCTAGTAACTTCTCTAAGAATGAACAACCGAGGAAGTGGAACGTACAAAAAGCAAAAGATACTATTAAGAGACCGAGAGCTAAAGGACAATATCATGGCAGTACAGAGGAGAATACCAAGGTCTGCTTTACAAATGCATGATCTTTCTTTCTCTTTCTCTGAATTTGTTGAATTTTATATTTTGAATACATTCTTACATGTGTGTGTGTGTGTGTATATATATATATATATAGGTAGTGGCAGCAAAATGGGCTGAGCCTGGCTCAGTGTTGGTTCATGGATGCAAAAAAGAGAACTACCTGCTGAACGGCAATCATCTGCTGAATTTTCACTATGAGCCGAGAAATGCTCAGAGCAGGAATATGGGCAAGTCGATGAGGAACAATCACAACAGTAACAGATGGCTTCCACCGATACAGCGGCATAAATACAACAAGGAGCAGTTTCTACAAGCCAGGTAACAGAGTGCTGTTATTACAAACTAGATATTAGTGTGCATAATATTAATACTAAAATTATTATGAAAGTTTGCACTGTTAAATATACAACTGTGTAATTGTCTTTTCCTCTTGTAGTTGCCAATTTGTTGTGATTGCGGGAGGAGATTATTCTCTATATTGGACCAATCCAGATGTTCTCGTGGATTGGAAGTTGGTCGAGCAAATTGTAAGTTGGTCAAGCAAATTGTAAGTTGTTACAACTTATTACTTTGATTGTTATGTGAACACGTCTTGCAACACTGCTGCACATCACATAAGGATATAGGATTGAATTTTATTTCTTTAATTTGACTGATTTCGTTTTGCAGAAAGTTCACAGCTCAGAAAACCTGTCCTGCCCTATTTGTCTATGTCCACCAGTCGCAGGCAAGATGACACGTTGTGGCCACGTTTACTGTTGGCCTTGCATTCTTCATTATATAGACGTTTCTGACAGGAAAGACGCTTCATGCAAATGTCCTATTTGTTATGCCACCGTCAATAAAAATGACTTGAAAAGGTACAAATATGCATATCAAACTCTGCAATGCAGACTCAGTTGAGAGATGCTCAACAGAGCAAAAACATATTCTCGACGGAGATTTCAATCTTGTATTGTTTTTTTTTTTCAGTATGTTCGAGATTATGCAGACTACGGTTAATTTGGGTGACACACTGAATTTACGTTTGATGCGTCGCGAAAGAGGCTCTGTACTCGCGATTCCCGTAGAATCAACGACGCATATACCACCGGCAACATTTCTGTCTGCTTCGGAAAATTCTGATAATCAAATTTATTCAAAACTTCTTATCGCGAGCGTACAGGACGTAAGTTCTGATGATTAAATTCGATATATTTATAATTGCAAGAACGAAAATGATAACGCATATGTGACGATTGTCTTTAGATTATACACATCATAGAACTCGAACGTATTCAATTGGAAGTTGAATATGAGGATAGTGCGGATTGTTACATCAAGCGAGCTCTCAATGAGCTATCGCAAAGAGAAAACGAATTACTGTTGAAGGTAATTATTTAGTATAACGTTGCATAATTATTTATTATTAGTACAATGCCGAATAATGAGAGACATGTGCGCTGTATAAGGCTTCGAAAGACGTTTTATCCATGGAAGATATAACCGAGAAAAAGATTGCTCATCAAACGTCGCGAGAGAACGAAGTAAATACTGATGCATGTTGCAAGAACGATACCGAATTTTTGAAGACCGCTCAAGCGGAGCAATCCTTAAAAATTGTGGACAGTGCTTCCAACGATAGCCAGTGTGCTTCAGGTCCTTCCAGATTTATTTATTTTTATCAAGGTAAATAATCACAGTCTGAAGTAAGAGTAGTCAAGTATTTCGAACTATACAAAATGTAACATTGAACACTTCAGTGGAATAACCCCAGTAACGTTACGTCAAATTAATTTGCAGCCGTTGACGGGCAACACTTATACCTCCACGCAATGAATGTGAAAATGTTGGAAATGCAATATGGCGATCTTGAACATTGTCCTCCGGTGATAACAGGTAAGCTTCTTGAGAAAGAAGCGGGCAGCTATACGGAAGATTTAAAACGCAGATTGCGATACCTTTGTCACCTGCCGCTCACTTGCCAGTTTGAATTAGCGGAAATCGAGCTGAGACCACCGCTCGTGTCGGAGCACGTTCTTCGTGCTTTTCGTGGTAATTGTTATCTTTTGAAATATATTCTCACGTCATATCGTTCACTAGCATGTCTCATTTGCGTTTGACCTTTCTTTATCAACAGAACAATTGAATCTGAGGAAGGAACGTAGACAACGCAGGGAACGCGAGGAAAAGAAACGCGATAAGAAGATAACGGAAGAGCAGAATAAGCGGATGGGAAAGTATCCGACACCCAACATAAACATCGAGTCAAATCATCACTTTCCACAATGGAATCCGGAGCTATTGTTTTCTGAGTGAGTACGATGATCTTTATCTCGCGTTCGATATCGTTAATATCTTTATCGTAAATGATTCATTTGAATTTCGTGACATGTCGCATTCTCAGGCAACGTGCACTGTCATCTCCGGAACCGACAACAGCATCGAGCATTCCCAGCAGTCCGTCTTCAAGTACATTTGATGAGGTTGCCACAGGATCACGGAACAACTCGTTTTTAGAGGATTCGCAGGAGCAGCAGCAAGTTGGCCAACCATCATTTGCCGAGATGTTACGCAACACCAGAACACGCGTAAAGTCCGCTAACACTTGGCCTTCTGTCACTTCTTCGGTACAATCGAGAACGCGTTCCGGTATAGTGGGTATACTACCCAATGACGATGAAGACATAGAGGAAGCTTACTACGCTTCTCCACCGTCAAACAATCAATGTTTTGGCGACGCACTTGCTCGCGCATTGGAACAAACTAGATTGGAGGATTCAGGTATTACGATCACGCGCATATACATGCTGCTGATGTTCTTTCAATGCATATTTGCTTATTTGAATCGTTATTTACAGGAGAAAATGTTAATACAACTGGTAAGAAAAATAAGAAGCAAAAGAAAAAGAAGACTAAGGGGACTGTATTGTTTGCAACAGGTATGACGTGTGCATCTTAATTATGATTATCTGATTATGATTAAAACATGTTTTTACGCTATTATTTGCGCAATATGCGTGATGTCAAAGGCTCCTCATCCATCGTACATAGATCAGAGAGAGAGAGGGAGAGAGGGAGGGAGATATATATATATATATACATAGAATTGTTTTATATTACGTAAATTCTTGGGGAATGTGAAATTGACTAAATTTTTATGTTGTATTTTTCATTATTTGAAAACTTTTGCAGTTTGTTAGCGCGTGAGTGTATCATTCAATTTGCATCGTCATTTTATATTTTCGTTCTAATAAACGGCAACAATTACCGAGAAAATTTATAACTATTGCGCGCGAAATAAAAAGTAAAAACCAATAGATTTTATCAGCAAGTACTTATCCATCATGAGTGATGATATACGGACAAGAACAGATCTGTATCGAAGTATGTCGCAAGAGGAAAAAATTTATCTCGATTTCTCAGTTCTGGTATCATTATCGGTATATGTATGTAGTAATTGATGAGGAACCTCTATCTTGGTAGAACTTCCACTGAATCACTTGTAGCAAGATTTGTTTATAATTCGCGGTACTTTAACGTATTGAATATACGTATGTAAAATAGCACTGTACGGAAATTGATTATGCTTTATTTGCCATACTGGCCTATTGAACATACGAATAAAGTTTTACTTCATTTCATTTTTCAGTGTTGTTACTTGTTATGTATGTGTGTGAATTACTTATAAAGGAATCCTAAAACAGAAATCCTCATATATTGTAAGTTTACGAATATTATAAATGAAAATCAAAGAATCTCAATTTGTCGATACTAAGAAATGCAGTTACTTGCATTATTCCTAATTTATTAGTTAATAATATTAGTTTACTTTTAATATTTATATCTACAAGCAATATACTATGTAATGTAGGGATAAAGGGAGTTTTTAAATAATGTACAAGTATTTGATTGTATGAAATATTTAATTATTTAAATCAATTATTGAAATCAATAAAGGAATTTTAATTCCACAAATAGGTAGTAATGATACAAAAGACAATAGATGAAAAATTTTAATCACAACAATGTCAGAGACAAGAAAAATCTGTCTCATTTGTAAAATCACAAATTAAAGTGTAAATTTAAATATCAGAAATCGAGAATAAATTTAATAAATCAGACTTTACGAGAAAAATTTTCCATGCTCCGACATAAATAAAATTTACAGCCTGTGACTTCAACATCGACGTTGTTTACCAACCATTGACAACAGTCAGCAGTTTTATAAGTGCCACAACTAGCCTACGTATTTATTACAGAAGTAGAGAGAGAGCAGAAAAACACGATATTCTTGAAAATCCTCCTACAGTTACAAAGTTTGAAATAAAATTAAATAACGGATCTTCACAAGTGAATCTCGTATTAAGTACAAGGCGCGTAACGACAAATAAATAAGTAGAATGGAAGATGTATAATATACATTATTCAGTTGAAAATAAAAAAAAAAAAAAAGAGGACAACGAAAAGACAAGAAAAAAAAGGAACTCTCGAGAGATCGCTAATTGCCGAACACTAATGCGAGGAAACGGAATGATCGTAGGTAAAACCGCAGCTATATAAAAGTTCTATATTCATTCATTCGTGTTTATTGTTTCGTGTTATTTCCAAATCGAAGGAATGCGTAGTGATTGCAAGTGGTAGTAGTAATGGTAAGGTGGTTGCTTGGCTGATGGTGATCATGATGGGCAGTGACGAATCAAAGCCAGGAACGACGATCTCGACTTAGTCAACTTCCTCAATGGTAGGTCCGGACGCACCGCCGCCGCTGGGAGCTCCACCGGGTGCGGCGCCGCCAGCTCCAGGGAAACCACCAGGCATGCCGCCAGGCATGCCACCGGGCATACCACCGGCACCCTGGTAGAGCTTGGTGACGATCGGGTTGCAGATAGCTTCCAGTTCCTTCTGCTTGTGCTCGTACTCCTCTTTGTCGGCCAACTGGTTGGCGTCGAGCCACTTGATGATGTCGTTGCACTTATCCAGGATAGTCTGCTTATCCGTGGCGCTGATCTTGTCCTTCAGCTTCTCATCCTCGACCGTGCTCTTCATATTGAAACAGTAAGATTCGAGTCCGTTCTTAGCTGCGATCGTCTCTTTTTGTTTCTCGTCTTCGCTGCGATACTTCTCAGCTTCGTTCACCATCCTCTCGATGTCCTCCTTGCTGAGTCGGCCCTTGTCGTTGGTGATGGTGATCTTGTTCTCCTTGCCGGTGGACTTGTCCACGGCGGAGACGTTGAGAATACCATTGGCGTCGATATCGAAAGTAACCTCGATCTGCGGGACTCCGCGGGGCGCGGGCGGAATACCGCTCAGCTCGAACTTGCCGAGCAGATTGTTGTCTTTGGTCATGGCGCGTTCACCTTCGTAGACTTGGATCAACACGCCGGGCTGATTGTCGGCGTAAGTTGTGAAGGTCTGCGTCTGCTTTGTCGGGATGGTGGTGTTCCTCTTGATGAGTGCGGTCATGACACCGCCAGCAGTCTCGATACCCAAGGAAAGCGGCGTGACATCGAGAAGGAGCAAGTCCTGCACTTCCTCGGACTTGTCACCGTGCAGGATAGCAGCTTGTACGGCCGCGCCGTACGCCACAGCCTCGTCCGGGTTGATGGATTTGTTGAGCTCCTTGCCGTTGAAGAAATCTTGCAGGAGTTTCTGTATCTTCGGGATACGCGTGCTACCACCGACCAGGACGATGTCATGGATCTGCGACTTGTCCATTTTCGCGTCGCGCAGCGATTTCTCCACAGGCTCGAGAGTGCCGCGGAAGAGATCCGCGCAGAGTTCCTCGAAACGCGCTCTGGTGATGGAGGTGTAAAAATCGATTCCTTCATAGAGCGAGTCGATCTCGATGCTGGCCTGCGTAGAAGACGACAGAGTGCGCTTGGCGCGCTCGCACGCCGTACGTAAACGACGAAGGGCACGCTTGTTGCTGGTCAAATCTTTCTTGTACTTGCGCTTAAATTCTTGCACGAAGTGATTGACCATGCGGTTGTCGAAGTCCTCGCCACCCAAGTGAGTATCACCGGCCGTAGATTTGACCTCGAAAATGCCATCTTCGATCGTCAGGATGGACACGTCGAAAGTGCCACCACCGAGATCGAAGATCAGGACGTTCCGCTCGCCGGTCGCCTTCTTGTCGAGACCGTATGCGATCGCGGCGGCGGTGGGCTCGTTGATGATACGCAACACGTTTAAGCCCGAGATGGTACCAGCGTCCTTGGTTGCCTGACGTTGCGAGTCGTTGAAGTAAGCGGGGACGGTGATCACAGCATTGGTGACAGTTTTGCCTAAGTATGCCTCTGCGGTTTCCTTCATTTTCACCAGGACCATCGAACTCACTTCTTCGGGGAAGAAAGTCTTTGTCTCTCCTTTGTATTGTACTTGAATCTTTGGTTTGCCACCATCGTTGACAACAGTAAACGGCCAGTGTTTCATGTCAGCCTGGACAGTTGGGTCCTCAAAGCGACGTCCAATCAACCTCTTGGCATCTGAAAATCAAAATATAAAAATATAAGATGGAATCAAAATGAAGATGTACAGAAAGATTCTTAATTGTATTTTATAAAATGTGATAAAATTCAAAAATATAAATGGTTGGAATATTTGTCTGTCATGTTTACAATAAATCATGTTTCGATGAGTCATTAATCATTTGATGAGACATGTTTTCTTAGTAAAAGAAAAATATAGTTATATGTTTGTCATATACAATACATAAAATTACTTATTGTTGAAATTATGTAATAATAGTAATAAATTTATAAAAAAATTAATTCCACTTTTTTAGTACATATAAAAATTTATACATGTAATTGTCATGGATCACATGCAGGAGCTTTACATTGGCTGCATTCAAGAGAGAAAGTTGCTTAACAAATATCGTAAAATTCGTGAATTTGATTGATATATATTCTTAGATTCAGCCAACGTTGAGAACATATACCGAATAAATTCGTGAATTTTCTAATTGCAAAGCAACTTTCTATGCTAAACACAGTCATATTTCCCATTTTAACAACATTAATCGATAAAGAATGATTAATTCTTTTGATGTTAGCGATTTCGTCGCGCGCAGTATCTTCAATCCCCTCCTTTCCCATTCCTCGCTCCCGAATAAAATGGCTCCATCACACGCTGGTTCTACTCTTCCAAATGTATTAATCCCTTCTAATTTTTGTTCTAAATCTTTCTCTTTTCCGATTTTATGTGGGAGATTGCGTGTCCAAGCAACAAAAAAAATATATTTAACATTCAACACGCCGGCCTCTAACGAGCTTCGAACGTGACCATAAATGATAGGGTAGGCGTACATGTAAGCGTAGAGGAACTGGAAATTTCCATGTCGAAACGGTCATGGCATACGCGATGTGAGGCGTAGCCTCGTCAAGCCACAAGTCATATAATCTCATGACGTAATAGAAATTTAATCAGATTTGGTGGCTCGAGCGCGAGCGAGCGATAAGAAAGAAATTGAGACTAACCGAAAATGGTGTTGTTGGGGTTCATGGCGACTTGGTTCTTGGCGGCGTCTCCGATGAGACGCTCGGTCTCCGTGAAGGCCACATAGCTGGGCGTTGTGCGATTTCCCTGGTCGTTGGCGATGATCTCGACCTTGCCATGTTGAAAGACGCCGACGCAAGAGTAGGTCGTGCCAAGATCGATACCGACTGCGGGTGCTTTCGCCATTGTTTCCGGTTCTGCGAGAAGAGAAAGCACTTTCGTTAGATGACAGGCCCGAGGCAACGGCGCGACACAACGATCCGAGACGACGAGAGCAACGTTGTTCACGTACCTTTTTTGTCTTTCTATAAATCTGAAAGCGCAAGGCTTGTACAGTTCGGTCCGTGCAGGACAGCGAAGAAGTTCTCCGGACGACGATTCGCAACGTGAGTGACGTACCCGCGCCCCAGCACCAGTATATATAAAATCCACGGCAGTTTCTGGAACGTTCCTTCCACCGAGGGCGAGCCGCAGCAGCCAATCGCGACGGCGCTTCCGCCGACACCGGCGGCAGATTCGTCGAGAGCCCCGACCTGGTTTCACCGCACGGGTCAGGCGAGTGTCAATTTGCGCGGGCGCCTTTATCGATTGCGCGTTTATTCGACGCGCTCACCGCGAGTTCTTTCACTCGCCTCGCTCGTCACTGAATTAATCCACGAGCCTTCTGTGAATTTATGATGCCTTCGATGCCTTCGTTCTCGCCGACGAATCGATCGATTGATCGAACGCGTACGGACGCGTACGGAAGTATCGGTCGGTTGTCATTACTTCCGGCCGGAATAACCGACGATCAACCAGCGAAGAAAGATGGAGAAAGATCGCGAGCCTAATTCTAGAAACGTCCACCGAGCCGCGCGCGCGTCACGCACGCATACACACACACACACACACGCATACACATCAGACGCACGTCGTGTCTTAGGCGCGGCAAAAAGCGCGGCATGACACATGCTCAAGGTCCCGCTGGAATTCGCGTATGCGGCCATGACGTCAGTGAATTGATCGCTCGAGGAAGAAACCGCGAATCAACATTTTCCGGGAGACGGTGCTCGTGCACGGTCATAGGCCGCCGTCATAATTGATAACGAACGTTCTCGTGGAAAGTCCGTCGGGCGTGGACCGACGACCACGAGGAGAAGAGGCATCGCTGTATTAATCTCGCTTTGACCATCGGTGCCCTGTATAGCATCGTTCGATTATGAACAATTTTAAAGTCTGATCTGCAATGTGCTCTTTGCTTCCTACTTCTTGTTCTCTATCCTTTTTTGGCTTGAGCTTTGAAATCCGGTTATACCAACCGAGTAGTAAGCTGAATAACAATTAGAACATGTGTCTGTCTGGTTTATGCTAGAAGAAAAACAGACAAAGAGGAAGGAACAGGAGTCGAGGAGCATATTGTAGATCAGGCTTGAACATTGTCTCGTAGGCCGCGCTGTCTCGAGTTTTATGAGTGGAAAATTTTTCGCCACACACTCGCCGAGATCCGCGCCGACGTTTGTTCAGCGAGTATCGCGAAACGATCGATGCCGCGTCCGTGACACGGTCGTATACATGTTGCGGAAACGTCGCGAAATTACAGACCTGAGTCATGTCATGTGCTCTCCGTAAGGCGTGTGTATGCACACGTGTACGAAGGACTCTCAAGACGCTAGCACGGAATATACCTCGACGCCACGTGCCTGTTTACGTTTATTTTGTGACTTAAACATGTGAGAAAATGCAAGTCATTCATGCACCGTCTACACAAACGACAGATTCAGTCACGTCACGCGAGGGGATTCTCTCGAATGTGCTGGAATATCGCTGTGAAATGATAGTTTCCTGTCAGGGGCGTAGCTAGCTTGCCCTGACAGGGATGGGGCACGGTCTTGCTGAATATCGAGCCGCCAGATACGTATTGTAATCGAAGAATGCGCAAGTGTGTGCACGCGTATATCGTGGTGTTGTTACTAGGGGCGTTACTAGGTTAATATGCGGCGGCGATATGCGCGTAGGGTGGGCGAATCGAGTCAGAATAAGATACAATTGTCGTTCGAGTTCTTTTAGCCAATAAAATGAATTGTTCCATTGCAGAGGTAAGACACGATAAAGCTTGATCTGCAATATGTTATTTGCTCTTTATTTCTCTATCTTTTTCTGAAGGTTTTAAGATAGGAAGAAATGAAAGAAATGGGAATAGATCTGAGTGAGACAGCTCGTTTGAAACAAAAAACTAATGGCAACGTTCAAGGAATATTGTATATTCCTCCTGAATATCTAAACAAAAGTCACTCTTATGCTGTTGTTATCATAAGCAATATAAAAGTTGAGGTACTGTGCCATACATGATAACAAAACACAGAATACCAATAGACATACCACTGGTAATTTTCCATTATAGTATTAATATGCAACGTGTATTGATGAATTTAATCATTTGGAAAGTGTCACTTACGATAATTACAGCAGCGCATTGATATTGCGCGCTCCCTCAGCAATGCAAATTTTTATAAAGCGTCTTAAAGATGTTCAAAAGATGCGCTACTTTTTTAGTAGCGCATCTTTTGTCTAAAAGGCATCTAAAAAAAAGGTAGCACATCTTGTGTTGCACACGTTCATGATGATTCCAAAACGTTTCAGTAAATATGAAGAGTAACGTTATATTAGTTATATATTAACGTTCATATCTCAGTTTATCAATGAATTATACATTATATATTAATGCTAGAATTTTCCATTCAACGATGTAAGTGTAATATAATACTCCGTACAGCACAAATCTTCAAAGGACGTTCTAAAGATGTTCTGAGGACATTTATACATCCTAAGAACGTTCCAGAACATTCTCTGAAGATTTTGTGCTATCTGGGACGTGTATATATATATATATGGCAATATATATTGTTGAGCGAGAAATGACGATATTAATTTAATGCCACTGTTATTCAATGTTTACTGAATCTTATGCCATTTGCGACAGGTATATCGTTAATACAGAGTAGGAGATAGATGTGACACGTGACAGTAACGGTCGTAACGTTAGCATAAGGCTGCAGAAGAGTTGCGATGCAACATTGTCTGCCGAGCCGTCTGTCCCCTTGAGGCGCATACGAACAAAGGAGAGCCAGATGGACGTTTCGAAGTGCGAGAGAAATGTGTGTGTCGAGGGAACGAGGGAAAAAGAATTGGCGGGAAATTGGCGGTCGCAGGTTCGGCAGGGTCGGCTAATTTTAACGGATTTATTCTCATCGTTTTTTTTCTCAAATAGAGAAGAAGAGGCTCTCCGCTCGTGGATCGAGTCCGCGCGATCTTTACAGTCCGAGTGAGACAGCTGTGCGCTTTTATGTTTTTCAAGGTAGGAGATACATGTTCTCACTCACGCGCACGAGATATTTTCGAGTTTCATTGAAACTTCTTGTCACTGAAAATAAACGAAGAGCCTCGGACGAGTATAACGCGCCGATATAATAAGACCGTGGATTTATTTCGAACAGTGAAATAGATAGGCACGCTCTCTTGTGTGTAAACAGTAACGGGTGGACAAATCATCGATAGCGGCGATAGAATTTCTCGAGAGAATTCCAGTCGTGCTAATCGTTCATTTCTCAGTTTATCAATGAGTTATACATTAATAAAACATAAAAACAAACGTATGACGCAATATTGACATTAACTATTATATGTGCATCCTGAATTAATGTAAAATCCATACGTTATCGTTCATGAACGTCACAGCAATTATCCATACGCAAACGGCTCATTAATACGCGATAAGATAAGCTAATGCTTCGTGTAATAATTTCTTTTTTCCTGGAGTATAGAGAGCGCTTGGTTTCACCTGTGCTGGATGCGAAAGTCACGACGAGGCGTTACCTCGTGCGCAGGCATCCTGCACGTTGGAGCAGATGTACTCCCGACGAAAATGGCGGGTCGGGGATTCTGGCAGCGACGACATCTAGTGAACGTCGCGACAACTATCACGCTCTCGGGCCGATCGGCGTCGGTAAAACAGAGAGGCGAGCCGGGACGATGTCGCGGTGTAGATAGAAGACATATGGTCACACAGCTGCGTATCAATATTTTTCAGCGATAGCGCACGGTGCCATGTGCGTTCGGTTTGTGCGCGCGTTGTAGAGCGAGCGTGTTGGCGACTCGATGCGACCTCACGACTAACCGCCGCAGTGCTCAAACGCGCCGGATTCTGAGGGGACGTGCCCGAGTTATGAGCACGTTGCCGCTGTCAGCCGCGAAACGAGACTCGCAGGACTTGGTTGGTACGCGAATGACATACTCGGCCGTGTAAAAATGCGTCTGCCTACGTGGAGTCGGGATCTGCCGGCGATACTGCTGTTACTCCTCGGTCTCTTGGCTCCCGCCTCATACAGCCTGGAGGTGATATACGCGATAAACGCGGGCGGCGAATCGCACACGGATATCTACGGTATACACTACGTTAGGGATCCTCTCATGGGAAAGGTCGGCACCGCGTCCGACTACGGTAAACAATTAGTCATAGGACGCATCAACAACGCGGATCAGATTCTTTATCAAACGGAGCGCTATCACTACAACACCTTTGGTTACGACATACCGATTAGTCAGGACGGCGACTACATCTTAATACTGAAGTTCTGCGAGGTTTACTTCAATTCTCCCAATATGAAGGTAAACTTTGTCTGATGGAAATCTCTCACCAAGTCGTCTTCATCTCTCCATAATTGTAATGAAATTGTGCAAAACAATTCTTGACTTATGCACACAGGTGTTCGATGTAGTACTAAACGGTGATCATACAGTGGTCACTGACTTGGATATCTTTGAGAAAGTCGGTAGAGGTATTGCACATGATGAATATATCCCATTCAGAGTGCAGGGTGGGAAATTGATATACAATGATGAGGAGTCTGACATCCTGGCAGGGAAGATTAGGGTAGAATTTATCAAGGTAATTCATCGATATACAACACACATTATAGTTTTCAACGTGCAATTGTAACAATTCTATGTTGTCTCGCACAGGGCTACAGGGACAATCCAAAAATAAATGCTATAGCTGTTGTGAAAGGAGCTCTAGGAGGTTTGTGTTTTGTCCAGATCATATTTTCAACAATTTACTGTAGATAAATTTTTCTGCTGCTAACATTTGGGCCTCCAACAAAAATATCTTATCTTGTTATCTGTATAGATATACCGCAGCTGGGGCCGATACCACAAGATCCTGAAGAATATCACAGTACACAGGAAGACGAGGAAGAAACTACCGTGCGTAATCGGCACACAAGTGGACCCAGAACACCCGACCCGTACTCGATAGACGACTCGTCTATGATGTTGCCCCTCTTCATAGCCGTCGGTGCTTTCATCCCTTTATTATTCTGCCTATGTAAATTATAGACATTACAAAACACACACACATGCATAGAAATGCCTTGTACTTAACGGTAATGGTGTTCCCGAATCAGTTAGACTCGCTCGATTCGTGAGAGGATGTCTAAATATGTACATAGCTAATCAGTAATTTATGCTTCTTTACGGTTGCGTCGTGTCAAACTTAGTTAAAGTATTTATTGTTAATTTATAATTCTCTAGAAATGTATAGGATGTGACTTTTCGTACATCCACTTATCTACTACTCAGATTTTCTGAGCACCTTATTAGCTGTTTGCTAGGTACTCTTAAAGATAATCTTAAAGCTCTTACATTTCTCCTCGTCGCGAACATTTTGTTCAGTAACGTAGAAACGAGGAAACGTATGCCCAAAATTCTCGCGGAATACGCTAAGATAATATGTCTATAAAGTGATCTTAAAGACACATTTTAGGCACATTTGCAAAATATTCCAAAAACTTTGCCTTTACTTGCCTTTACTTTGCCCTTACTTTGCCTAACAATCAACAAATAGCCGCAAAATTAACGTGACAAAATCACGAAGAAAGATCGCATGTCACATTAATTTTACGGTTATTGATTGTTAGAACAAAAGTTTTCGGAATATTTTACTAATGTATTGAATTGATTCCATGGTCACTCTATAGACATATTCTCTTATTTCGATGCATTTTCTTAATTCTGACGTCATCAGTCGAGAGTTCCGCGGCGAGGGACCACGAGTTTTAAAATTTGCAATACATTCAAAATTAAATGAACAATAATATAGCCTTTACACTTATTCATATCGTCAAGGCATGAATGATAGAAACTATCGATATATCTCAATATTTTCGCTCGTTTTTCAAGAGAATAGAAGCGCAATGAATACGAGATGTCTGATATGAAGTGTTTCAGACTCTGCGATCTTAATTTCGTAATTTAATTTTTAATAAGCTTCTTGAGAGTTCTTTTTTATCTTGATTAATTTATTATTCTATAAGGAAAATCCCGACGGATGTGTGTGTCAAACTAAACGACCCGATGCAACTTTGTAACGTTAAACTTCATGTTTCTTACTACTTTCAAAGATGAACTCGACGTTGTTAAAGGTAAATGCGTAATAGGACTTGTGTCATTCGATCGCGTTGTAACGACATCTCCGGACAAGTCAGAGGATGTATTTTTATCAGTGAAACATTAAGATCGGCGATTCTGAGACGACTTGCATATGTATTCTCCTAGTAAGTGTACACCACGCAATGCAGTTTACGCACTGCGACTGTGCCGTGGCGCATTTACTTCATTGTGTTCTGTATTTTTCAAATGCCGTGTTTTTATAGTTCATTATATATCGTGAAACATTTTGTACACGCGTCTCCTTCGCCCCTCCTCACACGATCCAATCCCAAAGAGTTGAAATATGCTGATATACGGGGCGATGCGGATCATGCGATTTTAATATGAACTCTTTAGTATATAGAATCGTTACCGAAATTCTCAGGATCAACCGGACGACAGTCTTCGTAGTCCATTACGTACCAAAGTGACATCAAATTTTTTGCACGTCGAAATAAAGAAAACTGTTACTGAAACAATCATGTATTGTTATCCCGTATTTTCATAGACATAACAGACCGTCGCGTCGTGCGCGTTACAAAATTACGCGAATTTCGTTGTTATCCAGTGGGTAATGCACGAATGAAGGACACGCTTTATCAATCGTCGTATATTCCTCTGAAAAAAGTTCAATTTTTGCTGTACTTGAATTACTCTTTGCGTAGCTTTGTGCAACTTGGTATTTTTAAAATAACGCAAATCTCTCCATTATGCCGGAAATATTATATTGATAGGCTAAGTCCGTTATTTCGTTAGAAGCGTCAACTAACGATAAAGAATTGTAACTTATATATAAAGCGTTCCAAATAACATTATCCACGTTGAAACGAGAGTTTCAGCGACGCGATACTAAGATTTGCTAGTCTACGAGAGAAAGAAATCTTCGCATTTCGCGTTTTTGCTCACTTTTCTTGCCTTGTGCTCTCACACGTGCCATGTCGTGCAAATAATTTTTTTGTTCGTACATTCCTCATTGCGTTAATCGCGTGGTCGTTATTGATAACGACATTTTGCCCGGTTTCGCAACGAGACGACGAGGAGGAGCCGTTAAAGTTGAGCGGCGAAGTACTGCTGCAGACTATCGATCGCACAATTGTTCGTGTGTCCCGACAAGGGAGAAAGGTACAATAAATTCAATTGAGCGTCGCGCAACGCGAAGAATCGTACGTTCTTAATGGGAATAAGCTCATTCATCCCGCATGAGACGGGACGTCACGTGACCGGCGCGGCGCAGCGCGTCGCATCGTCTAAGTCTTTGATGTATGCTCATCACCGGCAATTAGCTGTCAATTCAAGGCTATACTTATGGTTTTCGAAGCCGGAGCTGGCAAGCGAGCGGACAGACGGGCGGATGGATGAGCAGACAGACAGACGGACGGAGGGACGGGCAGACAGAGTCGACGACGACGACAATCTCAAGTGACGATTTTTGCCCGGTGCGGAGAGCGAGGCGTTTACTTATAATCTTTCTTCTATCACAATCAGCGATTCGTGATAAATCGTAAATAAAAAATCTAGATATACGGTAAGGCGTGGCAGGCGATACACGTATATCGCAATCAAGCGATCGAGTGACGGTAAATAGATAACTACCCGTCGATCTGATAATTCGAGGGACTTCGATATGCGGTGAAAGAATAATCTTCGACCGGCCAAGAGTCACGAATATCGCGAAAGAAAGAAGAGCATGTTTCTGTTCGTTCTGTGGGATTCACAGAAAATGTAAAGTCTACGGTAACTCTTTCCCTAAAAATACTCGTCGCGAAAATAAAGCACGACTCTACGCGAAGGATAAGGGATGGTTTTCTTCGTGCTTACTGTTAATCACATCAGAATCTGTCCCGTTGAATTGGACGGAAAGCAATCTCAACAACACTTGATCGGATGTTAGGAAGGAAAAAGTAAAGCGAGAAGATTCTGAGAAATACCGTGCGCGATGTGATGACTTGTATTTCCGCACGCGCAGGATTCACTTGTGATCAATTGCATAACTAATGATTATAGCCTTTCTTTCCATTTAACGGAGAAGAGCCGCGGGCACATTTCCGCGCAATCATGAATAATTAATGAGCGATTATCGGCGACTAGATTCTGATAAAACAATTTTTCAATAGATAATTGACTGTTTTGCGGCACGCTTAGCAGCACTTGCGATTACATTAAGAAAAAAGTTCAAAATAAGGATTGTCGAAAATTTCCGCTTATCGGATGAAATTAACTTTGACTTTGACTCAGCGCGATAAATTACGCAATTTTTCTGTAAACAATCTACTTGTAATGTAAGATATGGATTATGCGGGCACTTTGAGGAGATATGTACATATCGATAAAGAGCAGTCGAGACGCATCGAACTGTTTCGCGCGCGATTAACTGAATATTACCAACTAGATATCGTAACTTCAAGTTGGCTCACTTTATTTTTGCATTTTCGGGCCGATTGTCGAAATTTACCGATTCGCAGTATGCGCGAAACGCGGCGAATTAATCGTCTTACCGCTGTAATTGGGGAAATTGATTCTCTCGACCGATACAAACCAATCATACCTCATTGTTGATTAATGTAACGTATGCAAAAATGATGATACAATATGATAGAATCTTTAGAATATCAACACGACGCGCTGCACCACAAGAACGTCTCTTGCGCGCAAGAGAAGAAAAACGCGAGACTTCCTCCCTTGCTTACGGCTTGGTGCAGGATGTAAGTAGCGAGCAACCGACGCGATAAGTGCTCGCAAATGGACGCAAATAAATGTATCTCTCCCTCGCGCTGGTCGACCCGTCGCCATCGTCCCATCTCTATCTCTTGACGGTAGAGCACGCACACCATCAAGAACAATGTGAAGGTACACATAAGCAATGATAAAACGACAAGCGGCGACCAGTCTGTCCATCCATGCATGTATGTATGTATATATATATGTATGTATGTATGTATGTATGTAAGTATGTATGTATACATGCATGCATGCATCCATCTATCCGTCCGTCCATCCGTCTGGCCTGGCGACGGTAATCTGTCGAATACTTTGTCCGGAATCATTGCAGATTAGCCAGCGACGGGTCTCTCCTCCCTCTCTTCAGCCGGCGGGCGAGATCCCTTAACGAAAACCCACCACCGCCACCACCGCCGCCATCGTCGTTGCCGGTGCCGGATGTCCTTATAAAAGGCGGCGCGCATCGGCGCGCCGTGCGTCTTTCTTTAGCAGTGCGCGCTCCAGACGAATTTAGTCTCGACAGTAAACGCAAAATTCTCCACCATGGTGCAGATAGTCGGCAAGTACCAATTCGTGTCCGCTGAGAACTTCGAGGACTACCTCAAGAGCTTGGGCAAAACCGAGCTCGCGGAGGTGTTCGCGCAGGCCGCGCCGGTCGTCGAGATCCAGCAGAACGGCGATCAGTGGGTTATCACGGTCAGCAGCAAGGGCAAGAGCGGTTCCGCCACCTTCAAGATCGGCGAGCCCTACGACGAGCAGTTGCTGTCCCTGCCGACTAGCTTCAAGGTGAGTCGTCGCCGCGAACGAAAAGTCGACTCAACAGAATTGCGCGGCGCCGTGTCGTCGATCGTGCACTCCTTTCGTGAAATTCGCACGGCATAGCTGAAGACAATTGATCGAATGTCAGAGCAAAAACAATTTTGAAAGATTCGAGAATAATATAATTACTGGATATAATTCAAAGTATTCTAAGTTCCGAACGTCAAATCTCCAAACGCAACCTCGAGGCGGGAAATCTCGGGACTTACGTGATCCCGACGATAATGCATGATATCGACGTGCAAATACTGTCTACGTTAAATATTTACCGGCTCAAAGACATCTAGCCAATCGTAGATACCAAGAAGAATCTAGTTGTGGATATTAGCACGACACTTTAAATTGCTTCAGAGCAGAGGAGGATTAAACTGTAATAAAGTTATTTAGCAGTGTAAAATACACGCATGGAGGAGGCTATTTAATCATCTATTGAATCGAGTTAATTATATAAGCCTTATTGTTAACTAGGCTGACGTAGCTTCAGTTAATAACACTCCTCTAATCCGTTGCAATTAATGGAAAATTGCTAAACAATCTCATCTCTCTACAGACAATTCTAAACGTTGCGTAAACATTCGCGACTCTATTGACCTTCCTCGATACATCCACGTACTCACTTCAAGATCTCAAAGTTCAATAAATTTCAAAGTTCAATAAATCTCAAAGTTCAATAAATCTCAAAGTTCTCAAGATCTCGAAGTTCAATAAATGTCAAAATTCTCAAGATCTCAAAGTTCAATAAATATTCAATAAATATTCCACGCATCATCGACTCACTCTTCAAGTAAATATATATATATATATATATATATATATATATATATATATATATATATATATATAT